TTCAATATCGAATTGGAGAAAGTACATTTATTAGTCGAGAGCGTAGTTTTATTTCATTCGGATAAAATTTAATAAAGAAATCAAAGCCTAAACCACTTCCAAAGATAATATTAAAACGATAAACTTATCAGTTACATGATGAAATATCGAAAAATATCCACAGGCGTACTTTAATTTTAAAATTAAGCAGTTTTCTCGGACAGGTGTACCGCATTTTTCGCCTTTTCCGGCTTTTCCGCAATAACATTCATTACGGTATAGGATGCGCCCTTATAATATAGAAGTTGCGGCCGAAGTTTTCATCTGTAAAACGTGAACGTCGAACGTCGAGTGCCGCTATCTCGTAAGCGGCGCTCGACGTTCGACGTTCACGTTTTACGGATGAAAACTTCGGCCGCAACCTCGCTAATAATTAATAATATAAAACGCTTTTAATAATAAAATATAGTAACAGATGGCGCCACCCGCGGTTTTAAATGTTAACGGGAAATTTAAATCCGCGAAGCGTGAGACAACTAACGGCCGAACTTCCGGTTTTCTAGAGAGCGATGTTAGACTCGTTCGATTGGCAGATTATAAATCACGTAGATGAAACTTTGATTCTGATTGGCTAGGTGTGACAGTTTCCGGTGCTTAAACTTTTATACGCTGTATAACTTTCCCGGCAAGAAAACTAAAATCGTGTGCGGACCATCTGTCACGAGATTTTATTAAAATAAACTTTTTATATTATTAATATATTTTAAAAAATGAGAAAAAAGCTGAATGTTGAAGGTAGAGACGAGTTTTATTTAAAAACATTATAGATGCTAATAAAGCAGTTAAATCTTCGTTAAATCTGACACATTCGAGATATAACCCTACCCGCCACTCCCCATTCGTTCCCCGGATTCTTAACCGGCAAAATTTAATAGCATGAATGCTCCTTATATACGAGTTACCTCGCCAAATTTGGTTTTTTAATTCTTAACCCCATCCTGAGATATTAAACCAACACGAATATATACAAATACGAGGAAGTTTTTGCCATGTTTTTTTGACTTTTTGGGGTTCGGGAGATCTTAAAACTTGGAGATTTGTAAAAAATCCGGAGAGTCGAATCTGACGCGATTACAGTATTTTAAGAAAAGAAAACAAAAATTATGCTTCACTCGGAAGAAAAACAAACAAAAACACAAAAAGTTTTGAATATGTCACGGAAATCGCGCCTTTCTCTTTACTCGCAGACTTTTTTTGAACCACCCGTGCACGGACGACTGGTGCGTTACCCCGACAACTATCCACAACATATTAATTTTTATATAGATTACGTTTTACGAAGCCCGACACGAAAATAACAGACTGTAAATAACTTTTTATTTACACCATCATCAATACATCATTTGCGATCGGTCTTCAAATAGATCCTTTTAGAGTCTGCGTACGGCCGCGTACGATACTGCCATTGTCGAAGCGGTAGAGTACAGTACCCTGACAAACCGAAAAAAGGAGCCAACGGGGCCCGGATCCACCAAGAAATTCGAGTTAAGAATCTGAAAAAAATATATTTTAATTATTTGGGCTACATATGAATTATATTTCAAAAAGAAAAAAAAATGATATAAACTAATGTGGAATATTCAATAAATTCTTGCGTAAAGTGCACATTACGCAGACTACAACTACAGGAAATTTCGAATGAAGCAATGTCGCCGCGATAATAAATAGCAAAAATAAACGTCGGCACAGAAAAAAACTTGGAGCTCTAACTTTGCGCTTTAAAATCATTGACATAAAATCGTTGCCCGTACATTTATTTTAAGCTGCATCGGTAAAAGAAGCTTGGGGCAACGAGTTAATAAGGGGACGTCCAAGTTTCTGGTAGTTAACCTCGGTCTAAACACTGCGCCGATAATAAACTCTTAAAATGTTATTTGACAAATTTTATTCGTAAGCATTTGTTTACGATATTAAAATCATAATGTAGACGTCTGTTTATGAAATTTACAACACAAACAAACGTTCCTCGTGGAAACAAATTTGGTAAATATCTATCATCGCGACTTAATTAATTAATCTATTTTTTATTCATTATTTCTTTAAAAATACCTCAAACAATTGTAAATACGCACTAAAATTTATTATTAATTTATTTTAATCACTATTTATTGGCATATTACGAGGAAAAGTAACTTATTATTTTGAGTTAGTCTTTCTTCTCGTACGTGTTTGTCTGGAGCGAGACAACGGAAATGTCTATTGTCAGAATGTACTGTACTGTACTGTACGTATACTGTCATTGGACCTTAGGCTTCCGCCATACGTTAATCTCTACGGTAATTTCGGGGTGTCGGATGATTAAGAAGAATTAGGAAATTAACTTCGGTAAACCTAGTAAATTCGAGTAACATTTTAAAATATAATGGTAAGACGGGCTAGCCTACTTTGACGGTTAGTACAAATTACAGATTTGAAATACAAATTCTAATATTTTTTAATACAAAACGTATACTAATTGTTACATAGGAGCTTGTCCACTTTACGGACGTGATTACGACGGAGGAAGCTGGTGTCGATGTCGGACTTGGATCTCGACTCTGGATCCGGTCAAAGTTCAATGGTACGAAGAACGTCTGTTAGCTCGAAACGATTCGAAGATTATTTTTATGATAATTTTTTTTAGAAAATGGAGTAACAATTAAAAACGATAAACAATTCTGACGCGTAATTTTAAATAAATTTTTTAAACGGATGTGGTCATTAAGACGAAATCTGGATCACGGAAAGGTTCGTCTATTATCGAATCAATTATTCGTTTGCGGATCGCCAATCAAATTTTGTTTTTTGCCGATGGTTAATGATCCTGGATCATAATTCGATAGACGTGGCCTCGGCTGTCTTTTCTCCTTTCTAATATACCAGTCGCATATTCTTACATTCGATTTGCGGAGTATCGTAAATTAAGATTTTTAATATATTCGAATGACTTAATAAAAGGAGATAATTTATTTCTAATTCATTAACGGAAGCTCTCCTATTCGCTTCCGACTTTTACTTTCCCGGCTCTGTTATATATATAACAGAGGGAAATTACGGCAAAGGGTCTAAAAATGAAATACCAAGATTTTTACGTATTTGGACTCGGGGACCTGGAAACCTCGATAAATGCAAAAAGGGAGTTTCTGTATGTACGAATGTTAGTGTGTGAGTGGGAATGGAAGAATCTTGTTAACCATCTTTGAAGCTTAAATTAATAACTCCCGTGCTTTTTGCCGAAATTTTCCGGAATTTTGCAGGGAGCTTTGTGTATTAGTGTATTTGAGTAAAATCTATAAAATGCCTCACGTAGAGGTGGGCCTCCTGGCATAATCCGATTGAAATATTTCGAAAAAAAAAAAAATTTAAATTAATACAGTATTTGTAGATAAACTATCTAAAATTTCAAAATGTTCCTGTCGACATTAATATTATTTTAAGTAATTCGCTAGCGTAACGTGGAAAAAGAATCAGAACGATAGACTGTCGTAAAATTACAGATTATATCTTTATAGATTAATTTATCTTTTATAGAAATATCTATTGCTTCGATTCCACGAATATGGAGTAATCTGAACGATAATCAGCAATCGAAAACTAAAATCGTTTTATCTTATTTTATCTAGGAAATCCATCTTCCATTTTATTCTACTAAAAGTAGATTAGAATAACGATTTCGTCGCGGATTCCGGTAATGTAGAGTCCAGGCTTTAGTGTTCCAATGCGGAAGACTGGGCTTTTACATATATAAAGTAAAAAAAAGTCTAGTAACGAGTTACATAACTTTCCCGGTTGTTAAGAGATTTTTATTTAAAAAATAACTTTTATATTATTAATTATAATGAATAAAGTTGCGCGTGGAGCCATCTGTTAAGAGATTTTATTACAAAAGCTTTTTATATTTTTAATTATTATACGATGGCAAAAAGCTTTATTTTGAGGGCAGGGGTGAGTTTTTTTAAAAAAATGTAAATGCTGATAGCGAATAAAATCTTCGTTAAGTCCTACACTACTCGAGATATGATGCGTGACCTGACTATCTCCCGACTCCCTCGACCTTTCACCATGAAAATTTAATTAATAGAATCGATGCCCCTTATGCACAAGTTACCGTGCCAAATTTCGTTTCTTTATCCTAAAATATTAAACGAAACACAAACTCGTACACACACTCAGAACGTAGAGATTTGCAGAAAAGTGGGAGGGTGAAATTTAGTACGATTCCCATACTTTCCCTTCTTATATATACGTAACAGCCGGGAAAATAATGTACTGTACTGTACATTTGTAAACCCAAATTCAAATTAGATAGATAAACGTTTAAAATCTGCATTTTTATTAATTAGAATGCCGAAAATTTATGTATTAACGAGCAACTATTTATTGGAACATCGTCACAATACCGGGCTGCAATTTTTACATCTGGGAAAGACAGACGGACGGACGGACGGACGATAGTGGGAATTTATAGGTCTACAATTTTTTCAAATTCCAGCTCAATTACTCCTGCCAAATTTTAAAATGCTTGGTCCGTGGGGATCTGAGATATAAAGCAAAATCGGGCCCTCCACACGCATATAAATACTGTTATATAATTACGCCTTTTGCCTTTTCATAAATACTGTAATTTATTTTTTTAATAACATTTGATAACAGATGGCGCCACACGCGATTTTATTTTAAATAAGTATTATTTTCGTTATTTCGTTAGTATTTAATTATTATTGTTTTTTGGCGAAGCCGGGAAATTTATTCCACTGGTCGCTGGATTTTGGAGCTAGGGGGACCTTTAACGTGGAGAAATGCAAAATATCCGGAGGATGAAAATTCGACCAATTACAGTACTTTTCCCGTTATTCCAGCCGGGAGAGTAAAAGCTTCCGGCCGTCATCTTTACTTCCGGTGTCGTTGTGCCAAACGTCTTCTTTACCCGCGCTCAAACGTTATTTTTAACTGCGCAACACCAATACAGGATTTCACATTAAAAAATCATTACTTCCGATCTTATATAATATTTAAAATAATTTACTTATCACGCAATAACTTTGTTAGTTTGATAAATCGACTCCAGATGGCGCTAATTAAAATGGTTTTTTTTTACTACGCGGTTTTATTTACGGCGGATTAGTCATCGGTACAGATGTATTTTCATTACGACGGTATACATAAACATTAATAAATTAGACAGAGTGTGTAAATGTATCGATGCGAAAACAAAACCGAAACCGATCGTTCTCCAACGTGAGTTTCGAGCGATAACGCAATCGTCGGTCAGTTGATACTTCGGATTGCCTGCGAATATCGTTCTTAAAAACTGCTCTTTTCCTATGTTTTTTGACGAATAATGGCAGAAGCACCGCTAAAACCGAAGTCAAAAGTTAAGAAGGTAAGTATATAATTGCTCATTTAATTTAATTTAATTGAAAGTTTATGTTGCTACTTTGGTAAGTATTTAATCTGTCGTTTTCGCTAATTACGAGTGTGACGAAACAGTTGTCGTGTATTTGCCAGGAAACGTTTTGTTTCTAAAGTAATTGATTAATTTCTTAAAAAATTTACGTGCAACTTTTTAGAAACCGAATCCGAAAACAAAATTAAAGTCGGGGAGATGGAAAAGTTTGAAGAGGAATAATGCGAATAAAATTATAAATAATGGTTATGTGGCTGACGTGTAGCCCGCCTATTTGAAATGGGTTATCCGTTTCCGAGTTTGTGCAGTTTTTTCTGTTCGGGGTTTATGCGGATTTTCTAATATGGCCTTCGAAAGTAAGCGGCGGGGCGAGTGCCGAATGCAGATGCTAAATGCGGTTTTTGCCTTATCCGCTTCTACGGTTTTACCGACGGTGGCGTACGAAACTATACGGATGCCTAGAATGACGCCGTAATGTCGATTATGTGAGTATTTGATAAATAATAATTTCGAAATGTAGAAAACCATGCCCGGGCCCTCCAGAACGATGCGTTTGAAAGAAAGTGCGTCGTCGTCGTGCGAATTTGAGAAAGAATCGACTCGACGGGTGGAGGTCGTTCCGGCCTCGTCGGAGAGAAGTTTTGGTAAAGTTGTGACCTGTCGGGCGGTTTTGGGAGGAATGGTCGGACCGCCACGTGCCGAAATCTGGGGAACCTCTCGAAACTGTGGGGACCGAAATTGTTGGCCGTGGCCGTGCCGGGAAAAGCGTTGGAACCATCTCCGGAGAAAGAAATTTATCCTTTGAAGACGTTTGCTAAGTTATAAAGAAAATGTCTTCGTCTTCTTTATAACTTAATTTGTACTGTTCGAAGTCTTTGTCCTTCTGGTTGGCCACGCTGCGCCGTGTGGCCGGAAGACTGCATTGTTCTGTTTGAAATCTCTGCCGACCCAGAAATTTCCACTCGGACTATCTGAGAGAGCTCTGGTGTTAAAATGTCTTTATTGACTGTCATTGGCGACTCGGTGAGGTTGGTTTGAAAGGCTATATTGTACGTCGAGTGCAAAGAGGCTAGCCTTTGCCGGGGAGCGTGGGTGTCCAACCTTTTTGTTTATCTGGATCACGTTGGAAGAAGTCAGAGTTCTGGGCCACAAATATATTAGGTATACTCGTGGCCCAATATCTAAATTATAGTAATAAGTATTAAAACTTTATCACAAAAAAGGATATTTTAAAAAATTACTTCTACAAACACTCAATTTTTACTTAGAAATAGATAAATTCAATTATTATAAAAGGAGGCAACATAAATTTATTTGAAAAGCACAAATATTTGTGTTATTTCTGTCTCTAATTAATAAAAAGTGATGCAACACCATTTTAAAGTGCCTAATATATGACTAATATATTTATAAATAATATGCACAAAATGATATTTTTTATGTTAAACTAAAAATAGGGTAGTCAAATTTTGCAACGCTGGAAGGAATACTAAATAAAGCTGGAGTTGGGACTCAAAGAATTATAGACTCAAATGCAGGGAAAGGTGAGAAAGGACAAAAGATAAAGAAGTGAGATAGGTTGAAAAATTATGGGTCAATATTTGCATAACAGAAGGTCTATTTAACCTTTCTCACTACTATTTATCTTTTGACCTTTCTTTCCTTTCCCTGAATTTGGGTCTATAATTCGTTGAGTGACAACTCCAGCTTTATTTAGTATTCCTGTCTAATTCACACATTTCCAAGTATTTGAAATATTTCACTCAAAAATAAAACATGTATAAAGATTTACGGCTTTGTGAAACTACTTTTTTGAGTTTATGCCATTGAAATAAAAAAAAATTTTAATATTTGTCAGTTTTGTTTACACTTTTATTGGGCCACATTGGAACTTGCCATGGGCCACATGCGGCCTGCGAGTTGCAGGTTGGACACTCCTGGTTTAGACAAACCTCCCGAGTTTTGAAGTAGTGATTTGGAGCGACAAATTGAAATTTGGGCTGATGGGATTGGAATGGTGCCAAACTGTGTGGTGAAAGAAGAATGCTGCTTACAAACTGCCAGCTGTGTTGGGACTGAAGCATTTATAATATGTGATGGTATGGGGATGTTTCTCTCCTAGACTTGGTTGTCTGGAAGAAATTGACAGTTGCATGGATGTGAAAATGTAGAAGGCAGTATTAGAAAACAATCTTCATTCTTCGGTGAAGGATATGGGCATCGACAAAGATTGTGTTTTGATGTGATGATGACCCAAAACATTCATCTAAGTTTGTCGAGCATCTTTGGCTTTCAAAGGATTTGAAAAGCTAACCCGGCCACCCCAAAATTCGGATGTGAATCTCATCAAATATCTTTCAGGTATACATAAACATTAATAAATTAGACAGAGTGTGTAAATGTATCGATGCGAAAACAAAACCGAAACCGATCGTTCTCCAACGTGAGTTTCGAGCGATAACGCAATCGTCGGTCAGTTGATACTTCGGATTGCCTGCGAATATCGTTCTTAAAAACTGCTCTTTTCCTATGTTTTTTGACGAATAATGGCAGAAGCACCGCTAAAACCGAAGTCAAAAGTTAAGAAGGTAAGTATATAATTGCTCATTTAATTTCATTTAATTGAAAGTTTATCTTGCTACTTTGGTAAGTATTTAATCTGTCGTTTTCGCTAATTACGAGTGTGACGAAACAGTTGTCGTGTATTTGCCAGGAAACGTTTTGTTTCTAAAGTTATTGATTAATTTCTTAAAAAATTTACCTGCAACTTTTTAGAAACCGAATCCGAAAACAAAATTAAAGTCGGGGAGATGGAAAAGTTTGAAGAGGAATAATGCGAATAAAATTATAAATAATGGTTATGTGGCTGACGTGTAGCCCGCTATTTGAAATGGGTTATCCGTTTCCGAGTTTGTGCAGTTTTTTCTGTTCGGGGTTTATGCGGATTTTCTAATATGGCCTTCGAAAGTAAGCGGCGGGGCGAGTGCCGAATGCAGATGCTAAATGCGGTTTTTGCCTTATCCGCTTCTACGGTTTTACCCACGGTAGCGTACGAAACTATACGCATGCCTAGAATGACGCCGTAATGTCGATTATGTGAGTATTTGATAAATAATAATTTCGAAATGTAGAAAACCATGCCCGGGCCCTCCAGAACGATGCGTTTGAAAGAAAGTGCGTCGTCGTCGTGCGAATTTGAGAAAGAATCGACTCGACGGGTGGTTAAATTAATACAGTATTTGTAGATAAACTATCTAAAATTTCAAAATGTTCCTGTCGACATTAATATTATTTTAAGTAATTCGCTAGCGTAACGTGGAAAAAGAATCAGAACGATAGACTGTCGTAAAATTACAGATTATATCTTTATAGATTAATTTATCTTTTATAGAAATATCTATTGCTTCGATTCCACGAATATGGAGTAATCTGAACGATAATCAGCAATCGAAAACTAAAATCGTTTTATCTTATTTTATCTAGGAAATCCATCTTCCATTTTATTNGGCTTTCAAAGGATTTGAAAAGCTAACCCGGCCACCCCAAAATTCGGATGTGAATCTCATCAAATATCTTTCAGATGAACCGGACTGAAGAATTCTAAAATTTAAGAGGAAAATCCTGCAAGTCTACCGGATGACCTTATTCAATGAATGGAGCAAAATCGACATTGAAGTTCTCAAAAAACTGATGGATTTGATGCCACAGTGTTTAAAAGCTTTCATAGAAGCCAACACAGTATTAATCTCTTGTTTTTCCAATATAGTTGGAATAAATATGGTGTTATTCAGACGGACTACTTACTTCTGACATCAGGAGGTTATGAAAAAAACCATTTATTTAAATAAAGCAATAACTGTAAACTTAACAAAGACTATATAAAACATGCGTGGCTTGCTTAGTTTCACAATTTAATCTAATTTTTAATCAAGTTTAGTCTGTTAATTCTTTTGCTTCTGTCTTCATTAAATTCTTTATTATATCATTGTCTATGTTGGACTCTGTATATTAATAGGACTTATTATACTGGTGTTTCTGTTTTAACAAATAGAGGAACAGATCTTAATCGGAAAACAAAAACAGGTGAAGAAAAAAAGATATATTATCTTCAAAAAACTTACCAGGGCCTTCTTTTCTATTTGTTTTATTTTCTTTTTTCATTTTCTTAGACAATTTCTTCAGTTTATACTTTTTAGAGTTAATGTTATATTTTAGAATAAGGTTATTTTAATTATGTTGTGTTTCTGTAAAGTCATGCTTATACTTACAGGCAAACTCAAGTGTTGGTAGCCTTATGCCTTCCTTTTTTACACAATCTCAAATACCATATTTCTACCTTTATTTTTTCTATTTCTTTTGATATCTTTCCCGCTGTTTGCATCTTCCACTTCACCAGAATTTTGGCTGTTGATTATTTAAAAAAATTGGATATTAATTCTTTTGCCTCTATGTCCTTAATAATAATCTGATATTAAGATAAAAAACAACCACGACTTTACCCAGTTGTGAGTTGTGTTTGATATTGAGATAGAAAGAAGAAAAGCTAGTCAATTCTTATTTTAGCACCATGGAATTTTGGTGCTAAAACAAGAAGTTTTGTTTCACTGTCCTGCCCTGTGGGCACTAAGAGATCCCTTTTTTTTATTCCTAGTCCATTGTGGGTCAGGCAGCAGGGTAGTGAGTGATGGGACCTGACATATCTGAGATGGATCACCCCCAAAAAATTTTTGGGATGTTTTTTATCTTTAATTTTGACTGGTAACACTTAACTTCCTTTGGGCATCTAGTCAATTCTAAAGTAAGGATAGTGTTTGAAAGCTTTGTAAATTCTTTATTTTGGCATGTAGTCATGAATCACATGCAATAAGAAAATTCAAGACTAATGTGTTGCACCATAATCAACTTTTACTGATGTTAGCATCTGCTTATTAGATACTCACCTAAACGTCAAATTTTCAGCAAAACACCCAAATTCAACATTCAAACATTTTTGGCCACTCATTAATCAGTCTTCATCAGGAAAAGTCAAACAAAAATAACCGCTCTATTTATAGAATGTTGCCATGTTGTACATGTAATTTTTAAAAATTGGTTTGAACATTGGTTGTGACGTATATTAAGCAACATATAATTTCCTTTAAGAGTCTAAATCAGCGTTTCTCAAAGTGGGCAATAACGCCCCCTTGTGGGCGATGAGTAAATCTAGGGGGCGCTGGAGGCAGGGTATCGAACGGTGACCAAAGGCAAAATTGAGGTCACTGAAAGTTGTTCTCTTTCCTCTGTTAATTAAACTGATAAGAGGAAATATTATGTTTAATGGTTTCCAGATGTTGAGAACAATGTACGGTAAGGGCACAAAGTGTGAGATTCATAGAAAAGTTTTCCTAAGAATACTTCCAATCCTTTCTCACACAAGAGAAAATGGGTTAGGGGGTGTTGGGTATAACTTTATGGAACAAAGTGGGCGGTGGATCGAAAAAGTTTGGGAATCACTGGTCTAAATAATACTTCCATGCATTTGGTATGGAATGTAATCCATGTTGATGCATGCTCCTCTTATGTCGGCCCTGTAGATTTCTGTGGCCTCTAATGTTCTTATATGTTGTCTGTCAAATTACCCTGTGTATTAGGGTAGCCTCCTCCCATACGGGGGAAATTTCTGGCTAAGTAGCATACCGGACCAGGGCCATATTGATGTTTCCTTTTACCATGTTATACCTGTGATCTTGTAACAGGGCTTGTAATAATCTGTATGTTGAACCAATGTAGGTTAGTGTTCGGTTGAACTTGTCATCATGTAGTGGGATGCGATAAACTTCAGGTGCCCTAGCATCCTCGGTTTCATCCTTTGCATTAGATAAAAGGCGGAACATGGTGAGTTTCCTTTTGTACGCTATGCGTATGCTTAAATCCTTGGTCATCCTCTTGTATATATGATGGAGGGATGGTTTGTAACTTAGGACTACCCGTTTCTCTTCTGTGTTGTTAACATGCGTATTACAATCATTTATCAGTGTTCTACACATAAGAGTATTGTACTGTAGCTACAATGCAATGAATATACAATATTGTACCTTTAAGTCTGTTGCTTAAAAATGTCTGCTGTTTTTTTTCTTGCCTTCTTTTCCAGTTAAGTTGTCTAAAGAAATCATATGTCAAATTGCATCACTGTCATCACAATGTTTTTTCAGGAATTTCCTTACTTTTCATGCTGTCCTTAGCTTCTGTTAGGGTAGGTATGGACTCATCTTCTCCACTGCTGGCTTCTTTATCTTATAAGATAAAGCCCTATTTGGTCCTAATTATTTTTATTGCTGTTTTGCAGGGAATCATTTTACTGGCAGTGAAATGATTCCCAAGCAACAAGAGGCATCTTTAATTAAGCTCTTTCCCAGAAACTACACTCACAAGGAGGGGGGCCAGACGTTTATGTTTCTGATTTGAACAAAACTTGGTGAGCTTGTAGCTCTAAACACAAACAGCACCTTGTCCAAATAAGAGAACCCGCTTCTCAAACATTTCCAAAAAATGAAGTAAACCTATAAAAATTGAGTGTTTAGCTTATAAGTCTTTGGAAGTTTTGTTATCCCTGTAATAATGATAGCCAAGTGGATAAGATGCTAGGCACAATGACTAAATGATGTAGGTTAGGGTCTTTGCAATTTTAGTTTTTTTTAATAAAATTAATTTATAATTTTACTATATCATTAGCATTATTATTATTACTTTTCGTCGCATTTAGAGTTTATAAAACAAGTTATTAAAAATTGTGACATTATTTCCTGCGTAGTGAAAACAAAGTCTCTGTAGATTTAACTCTTTTATTTCATTAAATAAAATTTTCATCTCTTCATATTAATTTTCAGATCTGGTGATATTTTGTTTGAAGTGTAACAAACATGAGCACATGAGGAAATAGTCCATAAAATTAACAATTAAAAAAACTGCTACCCTATTTTTATATCAGACTTGTCTTTTCTGTTCATGATCAATAATGTCTGAAGCTTATTCACTTGTGGTGAAATAGTATGTAATCACAAGTGAAAATGTGAAAAAATAATTTTGTTTAACAACATAAAACAGTTAAATTACAGAAATTTTTTTTTTGCTAAGTAGAAAATGACATCACGATTTTTTAATCTCTTGTTTTATAAGTTTTAAACCTGAGGAACAATAATAGCAATAATAATGCTAATGATACTGTAAATAATACAATAATTTTGTTACTCATAAAAAAAAATAAACTAAAATTGCAAAGGCCCAAACCTACATCATGTAACTCTAGTGCCGATTATGTTATTCATTCGGCTATCACTGTTACAAAGAGAGATGGAACTTCCAAAGACTTATAAGCTAAACACACAATTTTCAGAGGCTGGTTTTTTGGAAATGCTTGAGAACTGGGACCTATTATTTGGACAAGGAGCTGTTTGTGTTTAGGGCTTATGTGCTCACCAAATTTCATTTGAATCAGAGACCCAAACATCTGGCACTCTCCTTGTCAGTATTATAGCATCAAGCTATCTGTCTGTGAGCATCTGTGCCTTATTTTGATTTATTTTGTGTATCTGTTAGCAAAATGTGTCTTAAGGTGTAAAAAGCCCTTATAGGACACATTTGGAATTATACGGGAGGTCTGGGTATGCTCAAAAATTTTTTGCATGTGAATTAATTAATGGTAGTTGCTTTTTTCTTTTATGCCATTTCGAATTAGCAAAGATTTCATAAGAATGCAATACTTTTGAATAACAGGGAATATTTGTATAAATTAATTTGCTTTTTTACAGCTTTATTTAGATGAAAAACAATAAATTTTCAAAATTTTTGTAAAATTTTTTTGTAAGAAATTGCCATTAAAATATTTTAAAATAAGAATTATTTTTTTCTTAAGTATTTCTATCTTTATAGTAAAGATACACCACTAGTTTCCAGCATCCTTTGTTTCAAAGCTTTACCAGATTAACTGTTTTTCTGGAACAACCATGGTCTCATATAATAATAATTTATCAACTCTCCTCTAACCCACTAATTATATACTTCCCATGTGTCTAAAGTATACCATGGACTGTTAGAAACTTAAGTAAAATAAATAAATCAATGAAATACAGGTACTTGTGCATTAATACATTAGTGAAACAAGATGATTAAACAAAAATTAAATGCAAATTTATTAATTTTTGCATTTACAAAGAATGCTTGCAGCATTACTGTTTCCAAGGTGGCAAATTTTAGAAACATTTGACACCATCTTTGACAAACTCATCTCTCTTAGAAGCCACAGCTTGGGTTAAATTTAAACAGAATAAACTAAGAATATCACAAAATTGGGATATCACCACCAAGTGCAGTGTAAATAATAAGTGTGCCTTAAACACAATGCCATCAATGACTGCACAGTAAACCAATCTAGTGGCTGTGGGAATATCAAGTTTCCTCTTGTAATTTTGTCCAGATTAAAGGAGGTGCTAAACTATTAGAAATTTGGAGATTTGATTCTTATACAGGTGCACTGGAAATTTGGTAGTGTACCTGTATAAGGATCAAACATAAAAGTAACTGGATATAAACTGGTGAATTGTTTCAATTTGAAAATTTTTGTATTGTACAATAAAAGAGAATAATTCTATCACATTAATGTTAAACATTTTACATAAAATTTAACTACATAAATGAAAAATATAGAATGCACAAGACACACAAAAGCATTCTTTATTTATTAATATAGCTCTTTTCTCTTAAGCTTATACAGGTAAATTACAAATAAAATTCATTATATGCTATGTGAAATGATGGTGCCATAAAACAGCATAAATTATTTGAGATTATTATTTATTTTACTGGTTAATAGGTTTTTATGTATTATAAGTTTCTAACATTTTTATAATATTCTTTCCAGAAAAAACAGGAAAAGAAGGTTTTTGTGAATAAACCCGAAGAAGCATCTGATGAACAAATTTGTGATAGTTTGTGTGATGAAGTAAAAGATGATGTAACTGTTGAAGAAGAAAGGAAAGTTACAGAAAAAATAGTGACAGTGTCTTCATGTGACAGTGAAAAAAATGAAATTGAACTTGATGTTATTAAAGATAAAAGTGATATTGAAAAAACAGAAACTGTAAAAGAAATTTCTTCTATAAAAACAATAAATTCCATTAATGTACAAACTCCATCTGCTCCAACAGCAGAACATTGTCCAATAGCTGAAAATGATGCTTATTATAGTGCATTTCATGAACTACAAAGAGAAATTAGAGAACTAAATAAGCAAACAATAGTGCATAAGCAACCTTCAGATGTTAATTTATATCCACAACTTCCTCCAGAATATTCGCTTTCACAGAAAAATGTTAATTTATATCCACAACTACCTCCAGAATATTCAGTTTTAGAGAAAAGTAGTTTATCAGCTAATAAGCACCTTGAAAATAAATCTATTCATTCTAGAAACATGTATCCTGAATTATCAAAAACTGAATATATGCAATATGGTGAAATGAGACCAAAAGAAGATGTACAGTGTTTGCCATCTGAGAGTTTTCTATCGATTATTAAAAGTGGAAAAAAAGAGTACAATATAAATAGAGAAGAGATCAGAGCATATACAATTGAACAGTTAATGAATTTTTATGATATTTCAAAAATATTAAAGAAAAATGATATGTTCATTAATTCATTCATCAAGGTAATATTTAATAATATATTGTGTGTGTGTGTGTGTGTGTGTAAAAATATTGATCATCCTTAACCTGTGATATGCCATGTTGGATAAAAATAACCCTAATGAATTTTTAAAATAATGCCATTTGCTAACCAGTTGTTGTAGGGGATTTCTGATCACATTGTATCAATTTTACTTTATTTTCTTATCCTTTATTAGCTATGATTCTTTTATGCATGTAAAATTTGATTGTACAAACTCTTATGGTTAAGAAGTTAGAAGGTCATAAAGTTCATTGGAATCACTTTGCACCCCACATAGTACTCCCATGTAACTATCCTGGCATAGCTCAGGTGGGGCCACCCCACTAATTATTTTAAACGGTTATTGAAAAATGACACTACTACTTGAGTTGAAAGATTTTAACACTAATTGTAATGATTCATCATAGAACTGCACAAAATCTGTCAATCCCTATGAAACTACTGGTTAATAATTAATATAAATAATTACAACTAGACATAAATAAAAATAAACCAGCAAAAAATAAAAGTAATAAAATGAAAACAAATGTTTTCTTCTGTTTTAAATGGTCATTCTTTGATTTGAAGAATGTAGATATAAATGAATACATTTTTTAAAAATAGAACATAAATTTAAAAGCTGGAAATGTTGCAAAATATGCATATGTCTATTGCAGCATTTAACATCATGCTTCAAACCCAGGGTATGGTGATTCATTTTAAGGAGATGTACTCTTTCTGCATGGAGAGTGTTCTATGACCTCTTGTAAGTCTTGAATTAAGTAATGTATTTTGTAAAATTCTTTTAATTTTAAATTGTTACTTAACATATTATTGGGCTTTAAGCATGATGTTAAACACTGCAATAGACATGCATGCATTTCCAACCCTTTAAATTTAAATTTATGTTATATCTTTAAAAAATGCATTTGTTTATATCTGCATTCTTTGAACTTAGGATGACCATTTAAAATGGAAGAAAATGTTTGTTTTCTTATTACTTTTATTTTTTGTTGGTTCATTGGTATTTATGTCTAGCTGTGGTTATTTAACAAAATTAATCTGTTTTTCTAAAGATATTTGCAGCAAAAGACAGTATTAGTTATTTTTCATACTACCTGAGCTTTCATATAGCAAATTTTAGATTTAAATGCCACATTTGTAAACAAACACCACTGATCCCGGTAGTATTTGTTTTGTGACAGTATTATTATGCAGGAGTGCAGAATATTTTCAGGACCTAAAATTTCCCCCAAACAGTTTTGTTGAAAATTATTTCACACAAAATAAAACAATTTAAAAACCACTTAATAATTATTACAATATAGTTTGGAAAATTCAAATTAAACTTTTACAAATAATTAAATAGGCCTATTATATAATTGCTGTGTAACACTAAACTGATAAATTAACAAAAAAATGGTTTTTAATTGAGAGAATGCTTTGATTTAAGCACATGCCATCCTCGTAAGATGGCATATAAAATTATAAACTTCATGTAATACAGTGATTAAAGGAAATAAAATTGCTCTTGATGCTATGAATGACCCTTTTTTTTAGCACTGGGCATAACTAAAGGATGTTTTGACATCAAAAAAATGCAAAAATTATTTTTGACAATGACTTTGTACAATTTTTTCTGAAAAATTATTTAAAGGGATCAATTTTTTTTATAGGTTTTGACTGATTATTATTATTATTTTTGAAAATGCAACCATATTTTTATGATGTTTTAAAATATATGTTAACATTAATATATTTTTTTAAAACAAATTATAAAAAAATATATGAAAAATAACAAAAAATATTTATAAAATGATGATGATAACTTTTATTTAGCTATTTAATCAAGAGAATTCAGATAGTTTTTAAACTGTTTATTAACTTGTAAAAATTCCCGTGGAGAACAATTGAATATTTCATTTTAGTTGAGCCAACAAAATTTTTCTCATTAAGTAGTGTTAGTTTTGAAATAAAGCAGATTTTCTTGTTTGGTTTTTAGAAACTGAGGTTCTGGTTTTTCATAAAAATCAAAACTGTGGTTCTGTAACCGAGACTAACTCATCCTTACTACAAGTGAATAAGTAAATAGGCAGTGATGAAATGAGTGAGTGAACTGTGATCAGAAACAAAGGAAGCAACGTTCCAATTTCACTTTTAAAACACAATTCCTGTGTTTTGGCAAATTTTCCCAGTTAATGTCTATAGGCTTAGCATAGACTCTACTCCATTTTTTGTAGCTATTGTCATAATAGTTTTCCTACCACAGATTTCCCTGGGACTATTTTAATTTTCGCCGAACCTCGTTCATGTGATCGGCCATATTCTGCACCCATTATTATGTACAAAAGTGATTTGATGTTACATATATCCTCTAATTTGTTAAATGTACTGACTTAAATTCTTTCTGAAAAATTCTTTCATTTACAAAGTAAAATTGATTCAGTTGAGAACATTTCTTTAAAGCCTTACATAAATAGTAAGTAGAAAAAACTTTTTCCATATTGCAAAAATTACACCATTTAAATTGGGGTCATTCAACACTCCACCTAGCATGATTAGAAACTTTTTCTCACCTGGCATACCATGAGTTAATATATTTTATTTGATAAACAGTAAGATACAAGATAAAGATTTATCATTAATTTTACTAATTATCATAGTTTAAAATAGGTATTTTAAATTTTCACTAATTCTTCATTTGTATTCATATTATCTGTTTATGTACTTTTATATTGTTTCAGATTTATATATTCACATTGAAAAATATTAGTCATATTCTGCCATATTACCAAACGATATACCAGATTTTTTATTGGGCTGTTTTTAAGGCTAGTCCTTATTAAAAATATAGTATTATTGTGGTAAATTTTTCATGAGATGGTGTTTAAACCATCTACCTCTAGCCAAATTGCTTTGTATCTGATTATTATTAGCCTTAATATAGTCCAATAAATAGTTTGGTAATACTAGTGTATTGTGTTGATGCATATGTTATTAAAATTGAATTCAACAGTTTGGACCCAGATTAAGAAAGAAATTAATTTAAAAAAATACAGGATTAGTGCATTAAATTTAGAATATACAATTCAACCTAAGAAAGAGTGAAGAAATTTCATTTATTGTAATATGCTTTAAACATATTGTGATGATACAATATGTTCAGAGCCTATTCATGTTTGTTTGGCTTAGCTAACAATTATTTGAATTTGTTCAACTATGCCACATTCTGTACTTGACTATCCATAAATATTTATTCATTAGATATTCTGTTGTTGAGATTTAGTTAAGCAGCTTTGAATTTTTGAAACAATATTAGTTATGAAACCTTAATAATGCTGAAAATTATGCAGCAGACATAAATTATATACTAAATTAACATAATATTGAAGATGATTAATCACTTTTTATTATGATTAATTTGGTCCAACTTGTATAAAATGAATTTTAATTTATTTTTAAATTATGATTAGTAGATTTTACTCGAAATTCTTATTTTAAGATTATTTCCATTTACAATTATTTATTTTGACTGAATTTTTAAATTTTAATGAATATTTTGAATATTTTACTTGACAGGTTTGTATTGTAATGATACATTTAGAAATAAATGCTTAGTTCAAGATACCAAAATGATTTTTATAGAGAAATGTTCTCTAAGTAGAATTAAAATGTGTTTGGTATCCTGAACTAAGCATTTATTTCTAGATGTAGTTTGAATATTTATAGTTTTAACGTTTTAAGTATTAAAATTATATTCTGAAAGATTTAAATTATATACAATAAAGCCTATTTAAAACAGAACCTGAATAAAATAGAAAACTGCTAAATGCAAAAATTCTGCCAGTATCAGGACAATTGTCCGTAACCCACTTCTTGCTTGCCGATATCGAAATCCACACAGTGGAGTATGACATTTCACAAACTATGCCTAATGGTAAAAAATTGGAAAAAATTCTTCAGAACAGAGCAATTTTCTATGTTAAATTTTACTATAAGCTGGAAACCTGTGTATCATGGAAATGTAAGAGGTTTTTCGATATGAATAACATAACATAACCTGGATAGATGTTTGATTAGTGATTTTGCTGGATTACAGAGGTTAGGTTAGACTACACTTAAACTGCAACCTTCCAGAATTTTTAACACTAATGCAATCTAACAGTTGGGAAAATTGTTATATTGAAAGAAATAAAGAGTAATGATGAATTCATAAAATTTCTGGATTTAAGCAAGATTCAACTTCTATATTGGACTTAGGATTTCATATGATGTATAGCAATGTTGCTGGTAGAAAAAATTTTAAATTTTCTAATTTTTACTATGGCAAACATATAGGAAATCTATAAACAGTAGTTATAATTCCAAATCAAAATCTATTTTTAATATATTATCCATTTATAATTACATAATAATACTTGAAGTAGCAAATAATTGAGTTAATTTATTGTAATAGAAGTTTGTTTTTATTTAAAAACCTATTTCAATTCAGCTTATAAATTCTCATGATAGTGATGTCGGCATTCTTTGGCCAGGACAAGTTTAGCCTCATTGATTTAATCATAATTCTTAAAATAAGTATAGATAAGAATTAGAAATACATATAGTATTGTATCATAATAAGAAATATAATTCTGTATTACTAAAAAAAAGAATGGCCTGACTTCCTTAGTTGAGTATATTAAGTCCCTTCCGTGAGCCTCCAGTCTGGACTTGAGTAACAAAAAATTGGACTTGCCCATTTTTAGTGGAGAGTTTATATTTATCATTGATATCAAATTAGCACAGCCAAACTGTAGTGGCAGGTTGATAGTGACCCAGAAAATTTGAAATTACACTAGCCAAAATATGCTGGATTAGTAATGGAATCAGATTAGTGATTGCCAGATTAATGATGGTTGAGCTGTAAATTAAAATATGAAAGAATGAATTTGATGAGGAAACTAATTATATTTATCTTAATTTTTTCATTCACTTTTTAAATTACAAAAAAAAAATACTTGAAAATATTTAGATTAATATATAGAAAATTTAAAATTTCAATTTTCAATATGTAATTGGTTCAAACACAGTTATTTTTTTTTTAGGAATTATCACATTCACAGACTCCAAAAATACTAGCAAATCAACAACTTTATTTTAAAAAATTGTGAGAGTATCGAAAAAGTGTTTGTCTTATAGGGTTGCAAACTAAGTGATTGCGGATTTTAAATAAGAAGGAAAATTCAAAATTTTTGCTAAAAAATATAACTTTATTCAATTAGGTATTGTCCATTTTTGTCAATGACCTCTTGCCATCTTTCAGGCAGTGTCATAATTCCATGTTCATAAAACTTCTGATTTTTGCCAGCAAAAAACTGAATTAAATGTGTTTTTACATCATCATCAGCATTAAAAATTTTACCATTTAAGGAATTCTGCATGGAACGAAATAAATGGTAATCTGAAGGTGCAAGGTCAGGGCTATGTGGTGGATGTGACAACACATCCCAACCTAGCTCCAATAATTTTTGCCGAGTGACCAAAGATGTGTGGGGCTTTGCATTATCATGCTGGAAAACAACACTCTTACGATTTGCCAATTCTGGCCGCTTTTCTTGAACTGCATCGCTTAGTTTGGCGAGTTGTTGAACGTACACATTTGAATTAATTGTTTGGTTTCTTGGTAAAAGTTCAAAGTACAGAATTCCTTTATAATTCCATCAAACTGACAGCATAATCTTTTTTTGGGGTGAATCTCAGCTTTTGGTGTCATCTGGGCTGGTTCATCTAGCATCACTCACGATCTTTTCCTATTAATGTTGCTATAAACTATCCACTTTTTGTCGCCAGTAATCAGTCGTTTCAGAAATGGATCAATCTCATTCTGTTTCAGAAGTGAATCGCAGATGCTAATGCGTTGCGTCAAATGAATTTCCTTAAGCTGATGAGGGACCCATAAATCCAGTTTCTTGACATAGCCAAGCTGTTTTAATTTTTTTTTTAATGCATGTATGTGATACATTGAGCTTCTGTGCAATCTCACACGTTGTGCTAGGACGATCTGAATCGATAATGGCCTTGATATGGGTCTCATCAACTTCAACTGATTATTGAGCATTTTTCAGTGAAAAATCACCAGAACAAAATTTGGCAAACTAATTTTGACACTACCTTTCTTTCAAGGCTTCATTCCCATGTATAACACATAACTTCTTGTGTGCTTGTGATGTGTTCTTGCCTTTTCAGAAATAATACAATAAAATATGTCTGAAATGCACGTCTTGTTCTTCCATTTTTGAATTGGGATAAAAACGAAACTAAATAACTAATCGATACAATTTTTTTACTAAATTAAAGGTGGAAGTTCAAACAACGAAAACAATATAGGTTAAATGCTTTAAACACGATGACAATGCAAAAAAATGTGCTAAGGCCACCTATTGACAAAATCCACAAACACTTAGTTGCCAACCCTATATTTAGCTTATATAAAAGAAAACCCATCGAGGAGGAAAATATTGTAATTTCTGAAATGCATCTGTGTAAAATAAAATTGTTGATTGGATAGTATGTTTGAAGTCTATGGATGTGATAATTTTTAGAAAATAATGATGTCTGAACTGATTACCTATTGAGATTTTTTAAAAAATGGAAGCGAATAGAAGCGAAAGAGATAAATCATTTGAAATTTTAATTTATTGAATATAAATATCGAATAAATAAATAATATATCAAGTTTATGAATATTATTTCATATATATTATTTATCAATGTAATCAGGTGGGATATTAATATCTATTAACACAATGAATTTTATTATTCAGAATGAAGAAAATGTAGAGGATAAGGATTTATTTAAGCTGATTTTGAAATACCAAAATGCAAGACAAAATAAAAAACTGTCAAAAGAAAAATTGGAAAGTCTTCGGGATAAATTTTTTGAAGATAAAGAAAATGTTTGGAATATAAAAGCTACATCTGAAAAATTTGAGGTATTTGTTTTAGAAATAAAGTTTGCCAAATATTTTAAAATTTCCAGTTTTATCACTACTTTATTAATTTTAAAAATCAATCAACTTCTAAATTTTTCTAATATTTTTAATGATGCATAGTTTCTTAAATTTGTTTTTAGGAGCGATGTGAAGACAAGAAATGGGTCACCTATCTGTATAGTTACAAAGTAGCTGAATTAAATGAGCAAATGCATAAAAATGTTTGCAAGAATTTAAATGATATTAGAAATGAAATTAAATCCGAATTTTGGTGCCATTTGTTTGCTGTTGATTATTTCAAGTTGCAAATTGAAAACTTTTTATTTGAATTAAGTTCCTTATCAACATTTAAAGATATTTCTACACAGAAACCAGTAACTGGTATGTTTTATGGATTTGAATTACATAAACATAATGTTTGAAAATTTATATTATAACTTGAATATACAAACTGATAAATGACAATTCAATATTTAAACCAAACTTGATTTTTGTTTTTAGAAGAACTTTTATTAATAATAAAAAATTTTTTTTAATACTTTGCTTACAAGTTGATTTTAATTTTTATTGAATATGAGTTGGAAGTTTAACTGTAGTATTTGTATTAATTTGAAATTTTTTTGAATTATTAAATTATACTATGTATTGGTTGCTTGTTACATATGTGGGGTATTGGGGGTGGTCAAAATCATGATTTGATATTTTTGGATAGGGGTCCTTACACCTGGTGTGTATTATAGAACACGTGTCTAATTTAGATTCTAGATAAGATTGAAATGCATAAGGTGCAAGGGTAAGAGTCACTTTGAAGTACAGGAATGATCCTCTCAGGAGGATGAATGTAAAATCAACTAAACAAACTTAGAAATAAGAAAGGAAAATTTATTGCAAAAACAAAACATAGCTTTAAAATTAAGTTTAAAATTAAAGTTGAAGTCAAAGTCAGTCGATAACGTTATACATATATTTAGATACACAAAGCTTATCCTTGGAACTTAGCCTATTTGGGTACCATTAAACCTAGGTGTACCTAGTGGGAGTAATTCAAACTTTGCAAATCATAACATACCAGGAAAAGAGTTATTTTTACTCTTACGCCTTTTCCTTTTCTCTCTCTCCCTTTGTGCTGACTGTCTCCTCTGGATTTGATACTTCTCTGGTGTAACTCTTCTGTTGTGTTGATTCTCTTCACTCTGAGTTGACTATTTCTTGATATGTTCACTCTCTTCTCCTCTCTCTCCATTCTCTTTTTAGTCATTCCCTTTAATTTTATTTTTTTTTCTGACCAATCATGATTTTATTCTGGAGGAAGTTGATGTAATTAGAGATAAGTTTGATTGGTTATTTTTAGTTCTCTTGTCTTGTTTAGTATGAATTATGTGTATTCACATAATGTGGGTAAAGTAACAACTGTCATTTAACACTAGTTGAAAAGGGGGAAATGACGATAATTCCCTTTCAGTTTTTTCTCTGAATGTTGTGAGATTAATGACAATTAACTAATGATTTTTTTAAAATTTTAAGTTGTTTCTCTTGACTATTTTTAATATGTTAAAAAATTTAGAAAGGTGTATCCCCAAAATTGGGAAAATAGGCAAAATTCCTTTCCTTTACAACACTAATTGATAATGTAAACAACAATGATGGTATTACATTCACACATCTACAATGTGTGCATGCAAAGGGCATCTTTCCAGTAACTAACAATTGTTTGATAAACAAACAAACAACAAAGAAAAGGAATATAAAATACATACATAATTTAAAATACAGTAAAATTTCCAACTTATTATTTAAAGAGATTACATTATTAGTTGAAAATAAGTTGATTAAAATTAGTTATACAAAATAATGCTAATAATAATTCAGTAACATATATATAATGACAAACAAAATTTGGGAAAATAATGGGCCTCTCACACAAATATGAAAGATAACTTGACTAAATGATATAGTTATTGTTACTAGCCATATTTTATTGTGTATTTTTTCTTCTTTAATCCATAATGGAGTTTTCCTGAACTGTTAATTATCATTATCTAGAGCTCGAATATCATTTTATAATGTTTCATTCTGTTTTAGTAAACGTAGTAAAATATGTTTGTATTAAAAATTTTGTTTAATTTTTATGATTCAATAAATACATAAATAAATGTTTTTCTTCTTACATATAAAAAGTTGTAGTGCTTCTTGAATTTTTATTACTTTATTAGACATTTCTGATAATTAGAAGTTTTCCATTAAAAGACATGGAAAACTTTCAATTAATGAGTTCAGTGTAATTTATTGAAATTATTTACTATTTTAATTTATATTTATTCATTGATATTCTTTCCTTTTGATGTTAGTTAGTATTGAATTTTGTTAACTTTTTATACTAAAATTTTAATATCATTTGAAAATTGATATTTGGTACTCATATTTGCAGGATATAATAAAAGAGATTTTTCGGAACTAAAGAATATAGAATGTTTGAAGAGAAGCATAAGTGTTTTATTTTGCTTTCAAAGAAGACGAACTGATGATGATGAGTTTTTAAAAGAAATTCAAGGATGGCTAACAAATTTGGTAATTCATACAATAAAATTATAGGAAATAGAAATTATTTATAGAAGATATTTTTAAAGAAGTAAATGATACTAAAATAATTTTTACTTTTGTTAATAGTACTTGTTATTTTTTTTGAGATTGAGCAACATTGTAAAAATCTTATTTTGCCTAACTACCACATTAAATAAATACTATATTAATTTTTTATAAATTTCACTTTATTAAGAAAGTAATATTTTGTAAAATTTTATTGTATATAACAAAATCTTTCCATGAAGTTATTAAATGAAAGTTATGATAAATCTAGATCTCAAAAAGAGATCATAGTCTACCTGGGTGTTTTTCATATGATGAGTACTGTACAGTATTTATCAATGTGATCTGCATTTCTTTTGCTGATGGGTGACTGGTAAGTAGCCAAAGGTTTCAAATAAATCCAATTAAATGCCATGCCTATTGCTATCTATGTATGTGTTGTTAAAGTTTAACCTATCCCATGTTGAAATTTTTCTCCATTGTGTGTGGCCCCCATGTTGAATTTTTGTGAATGTTGAGCCTAACGAAAATTTTTTTTAATAATAATCATGGCTACTGTATTGTAAAAAATTATTTTTTTATTTTGTACAAACAAAATAAATATAGTGAAAAATATGAAAACAAAAAACATTATATTTCAAAAGTTTGTTTTAATATAAAAATTATGACACATAGTAGTGACATCTAGTATCAAAAATGTTCCGATGCAGAGACAAATATATTCGGGGTCTCCAAGGCAGGTCGAATGAGGTGAACATGAAAATATTCGGGAACAATGTGGGACAGATTAATGCTTCCAGTTTATTATTATTAATTTTTTTAGTTTATATATTTTATACAGATAAATTTATACAGATTTAGATTTTGTAAAATACTTAGAACTTTATGTATGAAAACTTGCTACAGCATATAGGATTCTGTAAAAAATCATATATTTGACATTTACAATAAGTTTAGTAAAGTTAAAATGTCATTAGTGAGTACTGTAAAATGTAGCAGTAAAAAATAAAGCTTACTGCAAATTTCATGTTTGTTTCATTAGTACAAGGTCTGAAAAGCTATTCTGCAGTGAGAAATTTGTAATGTCATTGAAGTTATATATATTTTATTACATACGAGACCTATAAGTTGTTTATTCAATACCAGTTGACCAGTTACATGTACAGTGTTGGATGCAATTTACAGGTCTCATAAACAATAGTGTATATATATACAACTTCAATATTATTACAAATTTCTCACCATATAGTAACTTTTTAGATACTCTGTAGTTATGTCAAATTTTTAACTTAGGTTATATGGTTTAGTAAGAATGAATGATTGATGATGATACCTTGTAAAATGGAAATAATATCAAGATTCTGATGACAGTTGCTTATTTATTTATTAATAATTAGATTTATAATATGAGTTTAATTTCTGCATATAATTTTAATGTATGGAGTAATTTTGTTAATGAAATGAAGTACATACAACACAAATTTAATTGTCAGTAATAACTATTATAAAAAAATTAAATGTATATTATTCAGACATGGTCACAACACTGCACTGCAATTTTTAATTATCTTTTAATTTAAAAATCATGTGACTTTAGGTCCAGACCAGAAGTTCATATATACTTAATCAGGCTTTCTGTATCTGATCTTGATTTTCATCTATCTAACTCTTCTTGAGATTAAGGAAGGACAGACGGATGGATGATAGTGAGAATGTGAAGGTCTACAATCTGAAAATTGCATCCTAATTACAAACACATAATTAAAAAATTGAATAAATGCTAAAAAAAATAAATTTCAAAATGCAGTAATAAATTTATTAAACTAATTATTTTTGGCTTTTTGAAATTCATTTTCAGTTTATATCAACATGATATCTGAAGATGACTTAATTTTGCTAATTAAATTTATTATCTTTAATACAAGAGATTGAATACTATCTGTCAGTCTCAATTCAAAAATTTTTGTGCTTTTTTTTAGTACAGATAATTTACAAAGGAATGTTGTTATATACAGTAGTTAGCTTGTTCTTAATTATGTTTGTCAGTGATTATAGTCATTATGAATATTTCATTATTTTTCTTGATTAGTTTTATTTTCTTTTGATTGTAAGTGAATTGGTGAAAAATTTCTGGTATTTGGGAATTACTGGCTTCAGGAATTATTAAGACTTGTATACAACTTGATTTTTAGGATCACAAAATAAACTGATTCTTTAGATACAACCAAATTAGTATATACTTTTTAATCATTAAAATAGGAAAATTGATTATTGCTGTTAAGTTTTTTTGTGTGTGATTTGTTTTAATTTTAGCTAGAACTTTAAAATTCACTTATTTTATCAACAGCTTGAATGTTATTTACCATAAAAATAGATAACTAGAATGAGTATTGTCAACATATGTTTATCACTTTACAAATGATAAACATTAATTGATTGATTAAATTGACATTAAATGATTAACATTAATTTACATAAAATTTAAATTCGGACAGTATAAGTTTTATTTTCTCTAATATTCTGAATAGAATTTTCATTATAGCACCTTTTTATTTACTATAAATAATTTTTTTAGTCAATATAAATCTGTGTGCGCTGGTATTGAATCTTGGTATTCCATTTTGATAACACTTTAATTTCAAATCTTGATTGATTGTAACATATTTACACAATGATACGATGCAGTTTTCTGTTGTTTAAATTAATTAAAATCAGTGGTTTTGAAGAGTTTAGAAATAAATTTGGCATTTATTCAATAGGTCAATAATTTGTAACAATAGGCTTTTTCACAGATATAGATCTAAACAACAAATTAAATGTCAAAGTATTCTTAAGAACAAAAAGAAAAATGCATTGCTTAGTTTTTATTTAAGAAGAATGATGATTTTCCAAAATTTACAATAAAACAAAAGAAAATAAAAAGTAATAGTTGTAAAACAAAGAATGGTAATGTTTTACAAATTATGATTACAAACTTTATGAAAAATAAAGTGTATAATCATAAAATAATAAAATAATGGAGAAGATAAATTGTTTTATGTAGGGTTTAAAATTTATGTTTTGAAATGAGAAGACACACTGTGCCTTTCCCAAAAGGGGACAACAGGGATTTTGGGAGAACTTGTGAAAATGTACAAGGTATGTCTTCCTTCCATTCTCAATATTAGTCTACTCAGCCATAAAAAGTTCATTATTTAGTTATTTTGTGAGATTATCAGCAATGGCTCATTTGGATTCAAGGCTTGAAGAAAATTTCATAAACAAATAAAACAATAGAACATTGGCACTCACCTTTATATTAATTATTTTATTTCTTTATTCATATTTACATTAAAGGCAACACCATCAAGTGGCTGTTTGGTTTCTCCCAAGAAATAATCATATCACCATAAAATTACAAGAAAACAAATTACAGAATAGAAATGTAATTACAAAATCTGAAATAATTTATGCTTTCATACATTAACACAATTATAAAAAAAATTATGAAATTATTAGTAAACTGGAAGAAATTTAATTGTAAATTGATTTTTCTGTTATAAATCAAAACTATTATACATTTATTTAAAACATTTTTTTAAATGTAAAAATATAAACTAGTTCAATACCATCTGCCTTCAAATTGAGGGTGTAAAAGATATAGTTGTGAGAAGTTTGGAAAGAATTAAAATATTTAGAAAACAATTTTATTGATAGTAGATTATTAGACATACTCTCAAATTTATAATTTTGTCTAAATAACACAATATTTTTTGCAAAACTTTTTAAAACTTAAATATGCCAATGATATTGTACTACCAATATAATAGTATAATATAATTTTTAAGTTATGTTTTTGGTCTGCTTTATAGACGATCATCAGGAGTAACCAGTTTGCAAGTTTCTATAATTAACAACTTAAAGTCATTCATTGCAAGGAAGAGTTTCTCTCTTGTAATTTCTCCAGATGATTTTTTAGAAATAGGAGGGTTCCCACAATCTCTCCCCTGAAATTTAGCTTCTGATATGGAATTAAAAGTAAACATAAAATAAATGTATTGGATAATTCTGTAAATAAGTCCTAGGTTTAATTATGTAAACTTAGTGATTTCATCATAAGTTACCAATGGCAAAAATAAGTTCAGACTTAATTTTGGAAATTTATTAAGTAAAATCATTATAATAGACAATTTTTTCATTGTCTTGCTCAAATACTTTAAAATATTTTTGTTCTTTTTATCTTTGTTGGCATATTTTTCAATTTGTCAGTTCTCAGTTCAAGTTTAAAAACATTATTTTATTAAAAGAGAGGTATAAGAGGAATTGAAAAATAAAGATATCATTTTTTTTAAAAATTAATTTATATTGTAATAATGTACTTTTTATATACTTTAGATAGCTTTGTTGCTGAGAATAGCTACTTTAGAAGATCACTTGTTTATATTAAATCATGTGTTACGATGCCCCCCAGGAGTCGGTGAATGGGCAACAAATTTTATTCAGTTTCCAGGATCGTGTTTATGGTTAGCATCAAAACACTCGTATATGGACTCGCCTCTCTTGGATCATATTATAACAGTTTTTGCAACACTTCTGTTTCCAATTAGGTATTTATATATTTATTTTATACATAAATAGTTATTATAATAATTACTGTCTATTATATTATATTATATTATATTATATTATCTGCAATATATAAGACACAATTCTGTTTTGGAATTCCATTTTAGTATTCAGATTCTTATTTGTTTTGACATAAAAAATATTTTAATTAATGCCAAATGATTAGCCAAGTTAATGGGCTGTTTTTGAGCTACTTTAATAATTATGAAAAATTAATTTTTAATTTACAAATTTATGGAAGAAAAAGAATTTGGGCCAGAGTGGCACTCAAACCTGCAACTTCTGCTTATCATGCACTTGCATTGCCAATTACACTACGTGGACCGAGGACTGGTAGCATAATTGCTTCCAGAGTTATTAATTTTGTTGCTCAAAATAGTCTGATAATTTAGTTGGTTATTTTGCATTAATTAAATAAGGTTTGTTGTTGTTACAGTAGAGCCTCGATTATCCAACTCAATTGGGGACTGGGGTTGGTCGGATAATTGAAAAGTCGGATAACCGAAAAGTATGAAAAAATCCATTATTAGTGTAGTATATTATTATATCCCATGTAATTAGTATATTAGTATATCGCTATTAACCTACTTCGCGTTGAATTTTCATTGATGTTAAGCCTAACAAAAATTTTTTAAAATAATAATCGTTGCTACTGTATCGTTGAAAATTAAGCCTCGTTTAAATACTGGCTCCCTTTCATGGTCGAATGAGTGTTGTCAGCTAAAACACGTAAAAATAATATTAAAGTAGCCAAGACATAGCCAAATATTGTAGCGCCACATCACTAGCGGACATTTGAAATTTGCCGACTAGGAAGGTCGGTTAACCGAGGTGTCGGTTAATCGGGTTGGATAATCGAGGCTCTACTGTATATACAGGATGTTTCAAAAACATACCAACAAACTGTATGGATTTTATACTCACAAACTTTGGGCAACTTATAGATGACACCAAAACAATCATGTTTTTTAATAAATCCTTGCCCACAAATGAGCTATTTTGGCAATAGAGAAAATTAAAATTGTAATTTAGAGCCATTGTGCACTGGTGGCCAGTAACAATCCAAGCATTTTCTTGTTTTCCTTTGTTATGTTGTGATAAAAAAAATTAATAAAATCCTGAAAATTTTCAAACAGGTAGTAGTTTTTACTATCAGCAGGCAACCTTGATACTGTCAAGTTTCATTTGTTACTGATTTATATATTTGAAATTTTTCTTAAAAATGGACAATAATTTTTCTTTTGAAGAACAGCTGAGATGCTCTTGTTTATGGTGAAGTGAATTGTAATGGACACAAAGCTACATGCTTGTATGAAGAGAGGTATTCCAATTGTTAACAAGATAATCTTCTGGAAAGAGTCATAACCACTTCCTCATATGTGTAAGCTATTCCAAGAGTATTCCATAGGGGCCCATGAATCCATGAACCAACAATACAATCTCTGTATTGAAGTACAGTACAGTGGTACCTCAGGGTACGAAATTAATCCGTTCCGAAACTGAGATCGTATCATGAAAATGTCGTAAGGTGGATCATCTTTTCCCATACGATTACATGTAAAACCAAATAATTCGTTCCAACGCGAAAAACATACTCAAATTAAAGCCAAGTAATACATTAAAAAAAATAACTGTAGTAAGAAAAACAAATGAAAAATGCGAACTAATGTAATGTCGTATGGTGAGTTTTTGTTCGTATCGTGGAGCAAAAATATGTTCGAATTTCATGTCGTATCCTGAAAATTTTGTATGCTGGGGCGTTCGTAACCTGAGGTACCACTGTACATGGTTGCCATTTTCTGCACTTACTGTAAATTCAAATAATTTGCTCTATTGGCAAACCAGATCATTTGTGGAGATGATTTACAGTAATTAAATTTACAGTAATTAAATTAAATAAATTTACAGTAAGTATATATATATATATACGTTATACGTAAGCTGTTTTTTTTTTAAGCTCAGATGGTCCATAAAAAAAGACAAGTGTAAATAACAAAATGAATTTATTACCAAAAGTTAGGTACAAACATGGTTACTTTTCGACATAACCACTGTGAAGATTGATGCAATTTTCATATCTGTGGATGAGCTTTTCCATCCACTTGTTGTAGAATGTTGCCGCCAATAACTTGAGATGGGCCCTAATGTTCTTTTGAAGATTGTCATTAGGCTCGAACCTTTGCCCTCCTAGCCACTTTTCCTGTTCAGGAAAGAGTTAGAACTTGCTTAGTGCTAAATCAGGGTTATACGCTGGGTGTTTAAAGGTGGTGAAGACTTCCACCCAGCTTAAAACTTTTTAATGTGTGAAGACTTCAACCTCTTTCCTGAACTGAAAATGTGGCTAACAGGACAGAAGTTTGAGACTAATGAACTAATGACGATCTTCAAAACAATGTTGTTAAGGCCATCTCAATTCACTGGCAGCAACATTCTATGACAGGTGGCAAACCTATGGCACGCGTGACCAAAGTGGCACGTAAGGATAAATCATCTGGCACGTAATGTATCATTTGATTTCTGTCTTTTTCAATCATGTTTTTGGTTTATCACCTGATCATTCTTCTTTTTTCAATCAGCTTTTTTACATTTATTCTAATTATAGCATATTCGTTTAATTTCTTTAAATATCGTTATTTGAAGTCTGAAACTTTGGCATGCATAAACGTTTATCTTTAAAGCTAAGTATGCTTACAATATGGCACACGAACACAAAAAGGTTTGCTGTCTCTGTTCTATGACAAGGGGATGGAAAAGCTCATCCATAGATATGACAAATTTCTCAATCTTCACAGTGATTATGTCGAAAAGTAACCATGTTTGTACTTAACTTTTGCTAATAAATTTATTTGTTATTTACACTTGTCTTTCCTTTGTTTTAAGGACCATCGGAGCTTGAAAAAAACAGTCCTCGTACATATATACATATACACATACATACACTATGCTGAGATAAAAGCATTGGCTAGCTTAGTGTTGAGGAGCTACAGCCAGGGGCACTTAAAGCATTCCCAGTCCGCATCATGTGTAACCTGTATGGTTATTTCAAAATCAATAGTTCTGGGAATGAAGAGCGGACAGAGGTCCAGGTAATTAGCAATGCATCTGCATGGTAAGCAGAAGTTGCGGTTCAAGTCCACTCTGACATGATTCTTTTTTACCACAAATTTCTAAATTAAAAATTAACATATAATTACGAACAATTATTTATTGTGACATTGTCACAGTGCCAGGGTGCAATTTTTAATCATATTTTTAATTTATGTAACTTAAAATGTATGCTCTCCACCTCAAATTATTAGTAGTGTCTTGCTCCTGTACATCATACTTTTCCTTTAACAATATCGTTGTGCCAGTCATCTATTAACTGCTTTCGGAGGAAAAGTTGTGAATTGAAATAACATGACTTCTGGTTTGCATCAGAAAGTTCTTATATAGTTAATAGGGGCCTTCAGTCCCTAAGGTTTCCATATCTGGTCTCGGATTTCATCTATCTAACTCCACTTTCAAGATTAAGGAAAGATGGATGGACGACAGTGGAAATTTATAGGTCTACATTTCTTTCAAATTGCAGCCCAATTAAAATTAATACAAGATGGTGGCATAGCTGTCTACCTCTAGTCAAATTAATTAGTAACTAATCATTAATGTAGCCCAAAAATAGCCTGATAATTTGGCTGATCATTTGGTGTTAATTAATTAAATTGAGTTAGTAGTTGCTGTTATATATAAAATTTGTTTAGCATTTAAAAATCAATAAATTAAACATTGCATGTACTGTACATATGTACAAGGGTCATTCTAAAAGAAAAGAACATTTTAATCTGACAAGTCACGCAGTTCTCTCACCACCCTCCACTGCTGCATCATGGACCTTCCCATTTTTTCGTGCCATTCTGACACTAATAGCAAGCCACAATGATTGTTTACTGTTTATAGTGTCACTTTAAAATGTGTGACAAAATTAAAGATCCCACCAAGTGTGAGGTTTGTAGTGTAATATGCCTTTTGAATGCAAAAAAAGTCCGTCCTATCAAAATTTACTGACCGATAACTGAGGTTTATGGTGATGTGATGAATGAAGCTTCAATTCGAACCAAACAGTGGGGATTGTTGTCCAGAGGCATTGTGCTTCTTCAGGATAACGCATGTCTGCAGGCTGCTGCGTTGACAAAGTACTTGCTTCAGCAGTTTAAGTGGGAAGTTTTTGAACATCCTCCTCGTAGTGCGGACTTGGCTCCAAGTGATTACCATCTTTTCCCAAAATTGAAAAAATTTTGGCCAGAAATCACTATGGAAGTGACAACGAACTGAAAGAGGCCATTAATGACTGGCTCAAGAACTTGGCGGTAACTGAGTGTGCAGAAGACATAGAAAAGCTGGTGATACGCTATAACAAATGTTTAAATTTGTATGGTGACTACATATAAAAATAGCTAAGGTATCACATGGGTTGTAAAATAAGTTTTGTTTCATTATCTTAAATAAATATATCTAGAGAAGCAAATGTTCTTTACTTTTAGAATGACCTTTGTAATCTGTATACAAAATTGATATATTCATCTACGTTCAAATGTTCATAACCAAAACATTTGTGTTGTTATTATCATTTAAATAAAAATAAAAATTTGGTTTTCAAATATGGTATTAAGAAATTTTACAATAAAAATTGATTTCCTAACTTTCAATTTTATTTTGTTCTTAATTCACAGTATGTAATATGAGTGTTAAAATTGAATCAAACAAAAAAAATTAATGTGATTGTAAAATTTTACAAATACATACTTTCTTTTCAAGAGCAAGAGAGAAATTTCTTGAATGTTATAAATCATCTGTAATGTTGGCCACTGGAGGTGAAACACCCCATGATAAATGGGTTATGGTTACTTCTATTGAAGGTGAAGATACAGTTGAAGTATGTATAATCAGCAATTAATATATTTTTTGTTTTGTAAAATTATGGATCTGAATTGAAATGTTTTAAGAAATTTGTATAATTTTATAGGAAATGGATGTTTGTGATATTTTGCTAAGATGGAAGGAAAGTGATATATTGGGATTATTCCAGCAAATACCATTTGGCGATATGTTCAAATTTTTATTGGAAATTAAAGTGGAAGACAGTAAGTATAGGTATTTAATCAATTATACAAAGTGTAATAAAAAAATTTGGGTATTTTTAGTATAAATTATGTTTAACTTAACTTAAAAATGTTTACATAGTATCACTTTCAGCCTTTATACAATAATGAAGTTATTTTTCCATCTTTGAAGGCAGCATTGTATGCAGATGCAGAATTCATTTTGGCTCTTCTTTTGCTTTTACTTCTATTTCCTTTTGTGTGTCAAAATATCGTCCCTTTAGTGCTTGCTTAAGACAAGGAAAAAGTAAAAAGTCAGCCAGTGAGAGGTTGGGTGAATATAGTGGTTGTGAAATTATAGGAAGAGTATTACATACTTTTTTCAGGCCAGATTTGTGGAGAAACAAAACATGGTTTCTTTACCAAAATAATGCCAGGCCACACCACACTATTCATTCAAACACTTCTGGTATGTAATTCTCTTCCTATGATTTCACAACCACCACAAACTGATTCTAGCTGAACTGCTTCATATAATTGTTGAAACATGCCTATATAAAACATCACATTAACTGTTGTACTATGGGGGATAAATTCATAGGCTGTTACCTCAATAAGTGAATAAAATGATTATCATTATCTTAACATTTGAATCACTTATGCTTGCTTCATTTCCAGATTTTAACAGTAAATTTGTTTTATCTTCTGTTATGACTGATTTCAAACAGTTTTCTTCTGTTTCATCTTTTTCAAAGAGAACTTTTACAATGTCTCCAGTTATGTTTCTGATAAGTTGTTAAGTATCACAGTTTCTGCAATGCCAATTGGCATGTACCAAATGAGATTTTCAAGTTCTTCGCTAGTTCTTGCATAGTGATTTGATGATTAACTTATAGTTGGGAAATGATGTCTTCTTTTGTATGTGGTGTCCGTTGAAGGTCTTACTGGCCTTGGATTATCTTTAGTCAATGTTTGGCCATTTTTAAATTTATAGTAGCATTCCCAAAGGCTCTTTGCAGCATTTGAAACATTTCTACACTGCTTATTCCAAGTTTCCAACAGAATTTAATGCCAGTTTTTTGTTTTTTTAATGTTACACGTTTTAAAATTCACTCAGTTGTTAATCAACAGTTACACAAATACTAATAGACAAAATGCTATGAAACTCATAAACCTATAGGAGGAAGTTGACAGTGCCTCCCACCTTGGCAAAGATTTTGATGTTAATATGATGTGTTCTAAAATTATTATTGTTTAATAATTCTAATATCTTTATAAAATATTTTTAGTCCGTTTTTATGCAATCATGTTTCAATCATTTGGTATAATAATAATAGGCAACAATACATTCATTAATCATGTATGTAAATCCTCAGTATATCATATTTTCTTCTCTTACATAAAAACAAGACATTCAACCTGGTTTGATGCTAATGAATTATTCTACAAGTATAAAATTTTTTCTTGTTAATTAAAATTTTAAATTAAAGGATCTAATTACTGTAGAAGCCTAGTGTTTTTTCAAGACTAAGTCACACTTAGTAGCAATAATAACTTCTGCAGTCTTCAAAGGAATGTTTCTATAGTCAGAATTTAAAGTAGAATAAAATTTAATTTGCAGCCATAACATCTGTTATCTAAATATATATAACTCAAAGGTGACTGACATAGTGATCTATCAACGCACAGCCCAAACCACTGGACGGATTGGGCTGAAATTTGGCATGCAGGTAGATGTTATGACGTAGTTATCTGCTAAGAAAGTATTTTGATCAATTCTACCCCCAAGAGGATAAAATAGGGGATGAAAGTTTGTATGAAACTTTGTCAATTTTAAACCGATCGGGCTGAGACTTTGCATGCATAAAGCTACTATGACGTAGGCATCCCCTAAGAAAGGATTTTGATAAATTCCACCCCTAAGGGGATAAAATAGGGGATGAACGAATAAATTAAGACGAACAAAATAATTTTTAGTTCTAAATGTTGACAATAGATGGCGTTAGTAGTATTTTAAAACGCGCTATCGTTGTTTTCACTGAGTTACATATACCCGATGATGAGTGGCCGCTGTATCTAATAGTATATACTATACCTAAATATTTCTAGCGGATTATATTTGATGATTTTGGCTGTTCTTTTCGTGGCATATTTTGGATTGCATTTGCTTTGTTTTGGTTTAGTAGTTTTGGTTATAGACTCTGCTTTGTATTTGGCATTTGTTTTGTTTTGTGTTTGATTAATAATAATACTTCTTAACGCGAGCGATGCCGCGGGCAAAAGCTAGTATGATATATAGAGCTTACATATATTATACTTTTTCAAATTGCAGCCTAAAAAATTTATGTAAATAAAGATTTTTCTTTAGTAATCAAAATAGATGTTACTTTGACTGACTGACAAATATACAAAATCCATCAGTACATTCAGGTGCGAAGGGTGAGGTGACGAGGTGACTGCCTCAAGTGGCAAAGTGAAAGTGTGGCAAAATGAGGGGTCAAAAATGTTCAAAAGGACAGAAAAATAAATAAATAATAATAAGCCGAATGCAGTAAATGTACACGAAAGTTGTTTATTAAATGTTCATATAAGCATGCCAGCGCTTGAACTGTTTTCTATTGGCAACCATTCTGGAAATAGAGGCAGCAAAAATTAGTTTTTTCTCAGGTGTTAATCAGTTACTATCGAGCAGCACTGCATCAGTGTGACTATGAACTGTTACACAGGAGGAGAATCACACATATAGGAAATTCTCGTTAGTTTGAAATTTAAGGGACAAAATAATTGCAACTTCAAATTATCAAGTTTCAAATTATCCAAGATTTACGTATTTCTACACAGTTTGCCAATGCCATGTAACTGATGTAATTTATTAAGCAAACTGAAAATAACTATATAGCAGAAAGTTATTTTCGTTAATTAATTAATAATGATAACGGTAATAATAATATAAATAAGCTGCAGGTAAACAGCATGTGTCCAGTGAGAACCTTACAGTTGCCAGATAGGTTTTATAAAAAGCAAAGCAGAATTCCTCAAAATGTAGCCCAAATTATTTTAAAAGTAACCCAAAAAGTGGTAAGTTGGCCAAATGTAGTATCCTAGAGCCCTACAAATATCTCAATCTGCTACTTATAGCCCAATGTTGCAATTCTAAAACCCAGCTGTATTTTATGAGATAAGAGAAAAAAAGGCATTCTATTGGTAAGGTGACATCTGAAAATGTTATTATAAAAGCAAAGACATATTGACCAGATTAGAGTTGTTGTTGGTTTATTGTTCTCTTATAGTATGGAGGCACTTTGATCTAAATGAACGAGTTAACATATGCACATCAAAGTTTGGACAGAATTTTCACTTGAAATTTCAAAGTAGCCGCATTTTGAACTAACCAAATTCCTTAACATGTAAATCTATATCCCTGGCTGGGACAAAAGTATAGTGATATTATTTGCATACAAAAAGTTTAATACACTCATCCCTCGATTTACACAGTAGATATGTTCCTAGAAAAATTATGCAAACCGAAACTGTGTAAAACGAGATACCAAATTCATACAAAATAGAAGGATATGTTCAATTAAACTGTAAACTGTGTAAATTGATCTAAAGAAGGCAAGGGAAAGTTGAGGATATGTTCTTTATAACCACGTAAAATGAGATAAGGATGAGTTTATTAATTTTTAAAGGCAATTTAATGCTTACATGTACAATACTTTTTCAATTTATTTTTGAAAATCAAAAACATAAACATTAACACCGAATATGGTATAAAAAAAAAATAAGTAAAAAAACAAATACAAATTAACAGTGTTGCATACACATAAAAACAATAAAAGAATTTAAACTTAAATAACCTTCATAACAACTACAATTTAAAAAACAGAAATAAAAATCAGTCTTTACTCTTCTTCAGAGCTTTGTAAAGCTGGAATTCTTCTTTTCTTTGGTAAGGCTGGTGTAACATCACTATCCAAGTTACTAACAGAAAATTCATCAATGTTTCCCATAGGTACTACTTCACTAACTGAGATGTTGGCTACATTTTCCACTTTGTTAATTAATAAAAGTTGATTTAGTTTTAGATAGTATGAAATCAGTGATCAGCATTTGCTTACTTTGGCAGATATTCTTATTTCTTCATATTGACTGAGGGCATTTTTTAGTGTTTTTTGGAATTTCAATGCTCTCTCAGTATCAGGATATCTGTCCAAAAAATAAGCTTGCAGTTCTCTACCTAGTCGAAGCCTTTCAGAAATTACTTTTCCGGAAAATTTTTCAGCTGCATTATTGTCATAATCAGAACTACTATCTTTAGTATTTTTGGGAACTTGATGTAGTCCTAAGTCCACAAGATCTGCATTTGAAATTTCCTTATCCTCAAATAACTCTTCAATATCTGGAATATCGAAATCATTAAATCCCTCGTTGCCAATAGAATGAGCTATATCTATGATATTGGCATAAACATTTTCAGTTGAATTCCATTCTTTTGACTATTTTTTCAGGCCATATGACTTTCCAGCAAGAATTTAGTGTTGACATTTTTATTTTGGCAATGGCTGATGTGACATTTGTTACACAATTTAAAATTGTAAAATTTTTCTAAACTTCAGGTAGAGTAAGTGAAGGATTTTCATCCAATTTTTTTCAAAATATCTGCAAAGGTTCGTCTAATGTAGTAAGCCTTAAATGCAGAAATTATTCCCTGATCTTGAGGTTGAATTAATGAAGTTGTATTGGGAGGCAAGAACTCAATTTGTACATTTGCATGTTGTAAGTCTATTGGATGGCTTTGTGAATTGTCTAGAAGCAATAGAACTTTGAACTCAAGGTTTTTTCTTATAAATAACTTTTCACTTCAGGTATAAAACAATTATAGGACCAATCTTCAAATATTGTGCACGTCATCCAGGCTTTTTTGTTGAAATGCCAATACAGAGGTAGTTTTTCCAAATCCTTTTCTTTCATTGCGCATGGTCTTTGAGAACTATTAATCAATAAAGGCTTCAAAACACGATTGCCTGATGTATTATTACAAAGTAAAGTCGCCCTATCCCTGGCTGCTTTAAATCCCCCAGCCAATCTCTTGGATTTTGACAAATAAGTTTCTGTTTTTATTTAAAAGCCGTGTAAAAGTGAAACTGTGCAAATTGAGTACCCTGCAAATCGAAGGATAGGTTTATTTCTAAGAAATAATATTGTAGAAAAATGAAAATTACTTTCTATATTTCATTCTATTTTTTGTGTGACTATTTAAAATATATATATAATTTAGAAGTTTAAAAAACTTTTCAAATTTTCAGATAAAGAATTTTGCAAAATAGATAATTTTGAAGAAAAAAAAATGGTCAAGCTTCTGTCCATTGTTACATGGTTAATATATATTTTTCGTGAAGGTTTTAATACATTTCAATGCAGAAAATACTGTGATTTTTCTAAACTTCTTGGACAGTATATAAGGTATATTGAACACACATTTTTATAATGATTTTTATTTCCATCTGATGTAAAAATTTTCCAGTATTTTGAAATAATAATTAAATTTATTTTTTAGTGATTCAGTAAAATACATTTGTTATCATTGGAAGAATTTTAGAAGTTCTCATGAATCAGTAGATGAAGCAATGACAAAAAGACTTCAAGTGGAATTTGATCAGTTTATATACAGATCAGTTGCCAGCATTTTAACTTCTAAAAGGTAAATAAAAGAGCAAAACAATCGCCTTAAATACTCGGGTTATAAATCCACTATTTTTAGTAATTAATACTAAGTAATTTGCTACTAGAGGTAGACATTAGGCACCATCTCTTATCTAAGTTAATAATTATAATTTAAATAATTTAGAATCATCTGGAAGAAAAGAACTTATGTCAAGCTTAGGGTTGTTTAATATACTTATAAATTAAACAATTAACAAAAATGAAGAAAATGTTTTATATTACAGTATTTAGATATAAAATAATGTCATAAAATAATATTTTATTTGCTTTAATCTATATATATAAATGAGAATGTTTGTTTGTTCACTATACATTCCTAGGCCTTTCACCCAATTATTACAAAATTCAACAGTTACGTTGATATACTTCTAACTTATATGTCATACATCCCACCCCAAAATTTTGATTGGATTTCTGTACATCGATTAATTTCTGACTACATTTGATTTGCTGGCCTTGCACATAGTGCTATCTATTGGCAAGAAAATTTAGCAAAATAATAAACTGAAATATAATTCTTATTAGAAAAGGATATAATTTTAAAAAATATATATATATATTATATTTACTTAATTACTGCAACAAGTAGCACATAGCTCAGTTAGTTGTGGGTTCGGGCATGGCCAACAGGATGGTCACGTGGAATTTTCTGAGTTTTCTTCGTTTAAATAGGGTCCAGCTTCCCATAAGTCTTTGTGGGATGCATCCCCCTCGGCAGATTGCCCACGTATCATGTTGCCGTAACCAAATAAACCAAACTAATTTTAATAATTTTTCTATAAACTTGCTATTACGAGGACATTAGTTTGTAGGCATCTTGATAATGTTCTTAAAATGGGTTTTACTAAATACATTTTTGAAATTTATGATTAATAATGCCAGGTGTAACAAGGTAGTGTATGTATATATATGTATAGAGACAAATCATGCTCTGGTAGACATCCACTTCAACTAATGAATAACATTGCTCAAGTCAGAGATTTGGCACTGATGATTGTTGTTTAACAATTAGGGACATTTTTTAACATGTTCTGATATCATTTGGATCTTGTTGTAAATTAATAAAACTAATATATTATATTAGTTTTAGATGTGATGAAGACCTATTAATAAGGCTGAAAATGTGTTAATTAAAATTAATGCTAGAATGAAAAGATGTGTATTTGTGAATTGTTTATAATACATCTTTGCATGGTCACTTTCCTACTGGTGGATGAAAGTGAAGAGCTTATTTTCAAAATGACGTATCTCCATTTATTATTATTATTTTTTTAGTTCTTGGCACCAACTCATTGATAATATGCTTCTCTATAGTGCTACAATATTTTTTTTCTGAAATGAGTGGTTCTTCTGTTGAAAAATGTATAAAAAAAATTGGTTTTCTTTTCAAATTGACATTTTTTGTTTTGTATTTATTTCCAAACTTTTGCATTTCCATACAGCCAATTACAAAGTGTATTTTGGTCACATGACTATTTCACAGTAATGGTTGTTTTCTAGTGCAAGTGCAATTGTGTTAAATTGTTTTCTTAATTTTTCTCTAATAATGACCACATTTTCTGAAGAAGTTCAAAAAGTATTTAGTCAATATGCTAGAAAGAGGTCTCATACTTTTTTTGTAGAAATCTTTGTAAGGAAAATTCAAAAATCAAGAAAAATTAATTTGTTTTGTGATGGATGCAACGCACAAAACAAAAATTACACATTATTAGCATGCTAAGTAAACGTTCAGATGTGTATAGTGTAATTTTTGAGATTACATATTCGGTGCGGGGTCACAGTTGTTTACCCATAGATAAGGCCTTTGGAAGGGTGGACAAAATGTTAAAAAAAAACTGAACTGTTTCTTTAACCAGAAGACCACAATAAAATCTTTCAGCATATAGGACAAGAACGTGTTTGGTAAAGACTGGCAGCTTGGTAATTAGAAACTTGCAATTCATTCACACATTAAGTAAAAAATGGATTTTAAAGTATCTGAAATGAAAGTAATCAGAATAAACTCTAAATATGTTTGTTGCAAACAGCAGTATTCTGATAGATCGGGAATGTGCAAACATACAATGTCAAAAAGAGGTAAAAAATGGTCATGTCTATTAGTTGATTGTTACCATTGGGGAATAAACTTAAGCAGGAAAAGATAGATGATGTGAAGAAACGTTTAAATAAACTGGGAATAAGTGATGGGCATACTGCAATGACATTTTACAAAAAGTATTTTCTTATTTAGAAAGTGATTGATTCTAAATAGGTACTGTGACAGAACAATTATAATATGATTTTTATTAATAATTTTTATGTAAATACTAAGTTTTTTTTTCTTTTGGAATTAGTATAATTTTTTTAACATTGTTTTTTATTACCTTCAGTTATGAACAAGGTTCATATGATTTTCATTTTTGTTTTGTATCTTATTTTGTTTTTTATTTTGTTTTTATATATTAAAAGTTTTTGATCATGTTTTTGTTGTNTTTTAACATTGTTTTTTATTACCTTCAGTTATGAACAAGGTTCATATGATTTTCATTTTTGTTTTGTATCTTATTTTGTTTTTTATTTTGTTTTTATATATTAAAAGTTTTTGATCATGTTTTTGTTGTTTTTATTACATTATCCATTTAAATGCTGCAAGTTTGTTCCAAAGTGGTTTAAGTCCATGATTTGAAGTACCAAAACTACCATTTCCTTTGCCTCAGGATTGTTTTTACTGTTGAACCTATATTAAGAATATAAAATAAAGCTCTGTACTAATACTGTAATTAAGTTTTTACCTTAACATTTAAAGCAATTATTTAAAATTTGCTGTTTTTGAACATTTCTATTTTCTGGAGATATTTCACTTTGGAAATAAGCTCTTCAGTTCCAGTCATGTTTATTATAAGAATCTTGTAGAAAGATCTGGAAATTTTGAGAACCTTTCTGAATGGCTTGATCAATTCACTTGTTAGCTGAGTCATTCCTGCTTTGATCATGTAGCTGCCTTATAACTCACTTGTAAGTGATTCACAATATGGTAAAGACTCTATTTAACAAACTAATTTGGGTGTTATATAATAAAGTAGGTTTTACCAAATGTGTGTGGTAAAAAATTGACGATTAATTTAGCTGTTTTACATAAATGTAGCTATGTAAGTAAATTAAAATGAAGTATTTTATGAGAAGTTTAATCTTACAGAAAAGTTTTTTATACATGTTATTGCTTATGTACTCACTGTAGTTTCAGACTGTATAAGAAACAAATATATTATTAAATTTGAAATAAACAAACGTTTTTTGGAAAATTCAGTTTGAGTGGTGACTCTTGGATTTGGAAAAATTTCTGTGAATTACATATAAAAAGCATTTTAAAATTAACAGGATGTTAATTTTCACATATGATGTGTGTACAGACTGGAAATTTTGTCTGTTAAATCCAAAATCCATTAAATCGAGGTTTCGTGGTATTAGGTCTAGTATGTTGCATTGGTTAATAAGCACTTTCAGGAATAATTTTGGCAATTTTTTAAATATATGCATATGATTAAAATGTTTTATTCTGAAATTTTTTTCTTAGCAATTAATTTCTTTTCATTTTATCAAAAATTATAAATCATATATTTAATTGTAGCTCTTAAATTGCATATTATCTATCATTATAAAACAAAAAGTTGTGTTAATATTCACAGAAAAGAAGCATGGCAATATTTAGTGCTGCCTTATGAATTAGTATCACCAGAAACAATGTGGCATATAGCATGGTTGATGGTTAACTGGCATTCTACAGAAAGTAATAAATTATCTGATTCAGATATTATTACTAAGTTACAAGGTAAGTTCTTAATTCTGTTCAAACAGTTATTTTTCAAAATAAAATTTAACTTATTTACAATAAGTTAATTTGATCACCTAAAGATGCTAATAAATAAGTATTTTGCTAAATTAATAACTAATAGAATCTTAGTTAACTTTAAGAAAAAAGTTGTTTTATATCAGTTTCAGTATTATTTACTTTTTAAAAATTGCTTATAAATATAGACAGCTTCCTAGCAACAATTTATGTTTGAAAGTATGAATTTTCTATACTTTCTAAAACTTTTAAATCTTATAATACAATTTATCCTTTATATACAGAAAAATAAAAAAAATCAAGCAATGAGTTGTACAACTTTCCCAGTTGTTATTATTTAAAAAAAAAAAACCTTTTATATGATTAAGCAAAATAAATAAAATTGTGTGGGGCACAATCTGTTATGAGATTTTGTTATAAAAAGTTTTTATATTTTTAATTACTATAAAATGACAAAAAGCTTAATTTTGAGAGTAGGGATGAGTTTTTTTACAAAAAGTTTAAATGCTAATAATGAATAAAATGTTTAAGTCCTATCCCCCCTCAAGATATGACACATTACATTCCTTTATTTCCTCGCCCCTTTGACCTGTGTAACCACCAAAATTTAATAGTATCAATGTCCCTCATATACAAGCCATTAAGCCAAATTTTGTTTCTTAATCTTTACCCCATCCTGAGATATTAAGCAAAATAAGACACAAAAAAAACACAGAATTTTTTTGCCTTTTTTTTTAACATTTTTGGATTTGGGAGGTCTCAAATCCAAAAATGTCATTTCATTTGTCAGTTTATATCATAATATTTTGCAAATTTTCACATCACCACCTGATTTTTTACTCAGTGAAGGTTTACAATGAATTTTTTGCATACAGTGTATTTGCACTTCTTAATAGCAAGCTAAACACTTCTCAGACTAGTCATAATTTTAAGACATTCTTTTACTTTTCTAGCCTGGAGTTTGTTGCAGCTTTAGTAATTTAATGAATTGAGCATTCATTTTAACATTGTTTTTTATTACCTTCAGTTATGAACAAGGTTCATATGATTTTCATTTTTGTTTTGTATCTTATTTTGTTTTTTATTTTGTTTTTATATATTAAAAGTTTTTGATCATGTTTTTGTTGTTTTTATTACATTATCCATTTAAATGCTGCAAGTTTGTTCCAAAGTGGTTTAAGTCCATGATTTGAAGTACCAAAACTACCATTTCCTTTGCCTCAGGATTGTTTTTACTGTTGAACCTATATTAAGAATATAAAATAAAGCTCTGTACTAATACTGTAATTAAGTTTTTACCTTAACATTTAAAGCAATTATTTAAAATTTGCTGTTTTTGAACATTTCTATTTTCTGGAGATATTTCACTTTGGAAATAAGCTCTTCAGTTCCAGTCATGTTTATTATAAGAATCTTGTAGAAAGATCTGGAAATTTTGAGAACCTTTCTGAATGGCTTGATCAATTCACTTGTTAGCTNCTCTCGTACAGGAGATCATTGTTGACTATTGTAAATTGGTGCTTCAATAAACTATCATAAATTAATTAATTCAACTGCGTGATTAAGTTATTCACTTTTCTTTCCTAAGCGAAGCAGATTTATTCTTATCTCTATTTATCAACCCCTAATATTGAACGTAAGACTGTATAAAAAGTGTTCGAGTTATATGGCGCATTTGAACTCGTCTGTCAAAAAATTGGCGCAAGGTATGCAAAAGGTTGGCCACCCCTGCACTTAAGGTTTCTTAAATAATTTCTTATTACTTACTTATTTTTGTTTAAATGATAACCAGTTTCACAGTTTGAAAGATTTTACAATTTCACTTTATCAATTTGTCCTTTCTTATAATCAGATGAAGCAATACAAAGTCCCATTTTTAAATGACAATGAATAACCATAAAAAAAGTGAAATTTTTCTTTATTGATCAATGGTGAACAATGCTGCTTGTGCAAAAATGGTTCTGTTTATTTTAACTTGTGTACCAGTTTACAAAAATTTTTTGTCACAATAAGAATGAAAATTGACTATTATTTTCCTATAGCAAGAAAGCTTGTGAAAAAATTGTTTTAATAAAACAGAACTGACATTTAGTAAATCAAGCAATCAGATTTTATGAATTTTTTAAAAAGAAAGATTATTAGCATATATTTATTGTGTTACTAAGTTTTTGTCATGGTATTGTCATGTACTTGTATAAATATTAAATTTATAACAGACCACTACATACTTTATAGTTACTCTCTAGATGCCATGTTAATTATGAAGTATATTATAAAAAAGGATTTGTTGTGAGCGTATGTGATGCAAGTAGAACACAAGTAAAAATTCACTGTGATACTGTGGCAACAATGTTAAAAATCATATTTGGTAAAATGGTTTAATTTCTAGAAGAAAATTTTTTTTAACAATTTACTGACAATGGTAGCAAAATTTTAACGAATTTTTCATTCTAAATATTCCCATATTTTTACATATAGTACTTTAATATAAGTGATTAACAATTGTTTTTGTAAAATCGTACAATAATTGAACCTTATATTTTCAGATTTAAAATATAGAGAGATGTTTCAAGAGCAATTGTGCCATTTGAAGATTAATGAAATTACTTATTTAGTAAATGGACTAATGACTATGATTGTATCCAGAAAACAAGATGAAAAATTGTATGTCTGCATATTAACAATTGTGGTTTTTGAGGTAATTATCACCAGTTTTAAAAATACAGAATACTTTTAATGCATATTTATTTATAAGTCAACAATGTGTTAATCATATTTTAGTTTAGAAATTTTAGAAACATTTTCAAAATATTTAATTTCTTATCAATTGGAATCTTACAATATAGAATTAGAATTTAAATATAATTTTACAATATGTTTTGTTATGAATTTTGAGCTCTTTCTTCCACTGCACTGGACAATATATCAGTATTAATTGAATTTTGAATTATAAAATTGTAATTGATGGTAATAATGATAATTGATGGTAGGAAATAAATTTTAGAAACATTTTTAAGATACCTTAACATTTGGATTTAATGAGAATGGCTTGAATTTTGTTTTGTTTGATTCTATTTTTTTTAATGTATTTTTTTGTTCATTAATTGACTCTGAAAATTAAGCAAGTCTTCACTTAATGTTGTTTAATTATAACCTTGTTGAGGAACGATACAAGTACATTTGTAATCATTTACAATAATCATTGTCAAATTTTCTTTATAAAGTGTAAAATTAATTCTGTGTTGATTATTCTTCCAGTTGTTTATTTTTGAACTGTGTAACGGGAGTTGCACAGTTGTGCTAAAACCTGTCAAAAAATTACTCATTCTTGCTCTTCTGACATCATAATTGGGCATGCTGAAAAGCCAAGCAAAAGATTGTGTAGTGTGTGCATGATTCAGACAAAATGATGAATTCCATCAGTTATACAAATTTTATTCTATTGAATGAAAATATAAATTTATTTTAAAAATCGATTATAAAATATCTATTAATAAATATTCAAAATTTTAANATCATCATTGAGAGAAGGTATGTCAAAAGAGGGAAAACAGTTATTAACATCAATTGTTGAAAGACATCCATATGTTGTTTCGTCAATAATAAAAGAATTAAAAAAGAATTTGAAAAATATTGGAAAGGTAAGTTTTGTATCTTAAATATTATTTAAAAATACAAATTGTTACAAAGTTGTCTTCAGAAATCAAAAGAAATTAATTCTAATATAGAACATGTTTAAGTTGTTTATGTGAAACAGTCATATTTTTGTCATTTGTTTTTTTAATAAAAATTTCTTTTAATTCTTAACATTTATCAGAGTGAGATGAATTAATCATTTTGATTACATTTTTAAAACTGAACTTAATCAAAAGATAAGAAATAAAGAGCAGCTTAAAGGGATTTATTAGAGGATGACGAACAGATCAACATTATTGTAAATTCTTCCAACTTGGCAGACATGGGTTCATTGATACCTCTGAATTTTGCATCCATCTGGCACTTAAACATAATAAAAACGCCTTGTTACCAGCAGATTTTGCAACACTTGGTTAATTGGGATACCCAAGTTAAATAGGAGGGAAGTGAGTAGAAAAGGAGGCAAGACCTACTGATCCAGAAGGGAGTGATCTGGAATGGAAGGTTTGTGGGAATAAGTCATTGGTAGTGTCAGTTAGTTTTATTAGAAAAACACAATCATTTCTGAACACTGGCACTAAGGGGGATTGAGGACTCAATAGCTGTGAAAGTACTTTTTAAATCTTATTTAGTTAAACACATCATTTACAGGAAGATAAAATTAGTGGCTTTAAAACTTTTCAGTCTGTAAATTCTATAAAATTTGAGAGCTCTTCTTGAGTCTTCACCAGTTCAATAAATTTGTACAAGTGATTAGTGATTGAGTTGTCATAAATTAGTGAAATTAACAAATCATAAAATTATGATTTGTTAAAGTTCACTACTATTGGAGGTAAGATACATTGCTTGCCATGTGTGTGATAGGTTAATATTTTCTGTACTATTAATGCAACTTCCCTTGAGTATTGCTTTAAAGCTAAGAACAGCTAAGAATAACTGAAGCTATTGAAATTTATAAAGCAATACTCAAGGGAAGTTGCATTAATAGTAAAGAAAATATTAACCTATTGCAAGTTCGGCAAGCAATGTTATGTTACTTCCAACTGTAGCAAACTCTAACACAACATTGCAAATTTTGTCATCTCAATCACCAGTCATTAATAGGTATGTTACAACTTTTTTACAAGTGATGCTTTAGAACTGTATTTTGAACATCACTTATTTTTAAAAATTAAACAAACTCCATTATTAAACTGAATAATTAAGAAGTTTTTTGTTTATAACTTTGTGAAAAGTGTTTATTTATTCTACAGTTATAATATAATTTTTACAAAACAATTACTTATTTATATGAATACCAACAGATAAGCCCAGTGTTGCTTGGGCAAAAAGTAACGATAGCAAAGATTAAGATTATTACATTATAGCCAATCTTGCCCGTTTTCACAGAATACAAGAATTAGGTCCCCCTGTTTCCACACTAATTAGAGAATTTTTAGATGGGTCTAAAAATATGTTTGATTTCCCTCAGAAACGCAAAAAACCTCACATGTGCCTGTAAATCTTGCACGTTGCTTTCTCTTAACACTTCCATTGTTTCTTAAGAATGGAACATCAGTGGGAAAGTGTTAACAACCTCTCCCTCACAGAGGGGAATTTTGAAAAATCTTTTCTTAGTGTACATTCTCATGACGTACCCTATTAAAATGCAATCAGAAATGCAAAAAACCGCATCTAAAATAGTACAATAGAAGCAGAGTTCTTCATGGTAAGCCTCAATCCTTTTCATCTCCCCCATGGGGAATTTCGAAAAATTCCTTTTTAGTGTATGTTCTTGTGATATATCCTGTGTACCAAATTTCAACTTTCAACTCCTAACCGTTTGGGCTCTGCACTTATTATCATCATCAACCCATCTCAATTATATATATAGATTAATAAGGATATTTTAAATTATATACAAAATATCAAATCTGTAACAAATATTTCACTGCTTTATGAAAATTAAGCTTGTTTCTTTAATTAGCTTATTAACCTTATTAATTTTTTTATTTTGCTTAATATCAGTTTCCAACACACATGTAGTTCTTTTTCATCATTGGTATTTATAACTTTTATGTATTTAACAAGACCTTATATGTAAATCTGCTCTAAAACCCTTAAGGGGAGATTTGATATACAGTAATACCCTGAACTTACGCGATAGGTGGGACGGAGTGATAACCACATAAATCGAATTCGTGTAAGTCGGGGTATAATTTTGCATATAAATACATACAAATTATTTTTAATTGGGGCCGGAGACTAAATAAAACCATAATTTAAAAAAAAATGTTTAATTAATTAATAAAATCTTCAATAATACATATGTATAACAAATTATATTATTAAAATCGTAAACCGAAGTTATTTTGATGTAGAAGGCTTCATAAAATCTAACAAATTCAGCTGGCGGCTCACAGATTTTTTTTTCTCCTGCAAAATTTCCTCGTAGCACGCTAATAATTTTTTTATTTCTCATTTTGTAGAAGAAATTCGCTCTTCGTTGGAGTCTATATTTTCTAAAATTTGTAACCCCTTTTCAATTGAACTGAGGCCTTGTCAATTTTTCAATCGTCATTCGATCTTCTGATTGAACTGGATCTAAAGAATCAAGTTCTTCAATGTATTGCTTACATATTTCTATGAGCTCATCAATTGTCAGTTCCTGATTGTGGGAATCCAGCAGTTCTTGAACGTCATCACTATCCACTTATAAATTTATTTGCCTGGCAAGATCGACAACTTCTTCAATCACATTACCAATTTCATCTGTATCTGGCACTGATTCCGCCTGAGTTTCAGTGGTGAAAAAAAAAGGACACAGTTTTTTCCAGACGCCATTTTAAAGTTTTTTGTGAAACTTCATTCCAAGATTGTCCAATGATTCTCACTGCATCTAAAACATTGAATTGTTTCCAAAAGTCTTTAACAGAGAGCTTGTTGTTTTGTCTCATAGCTTCGTGCACAGATATACAAACGATCGTCTTGTGTAATAAGCTTTGAATGTTTTGATGACTCCCTATCTATCGGTTGAAACAAGTTGGTTGTATTTGGTGGCAAAAATACAACTTTCACACGTGGGTCTAAATTAGTTAAAGTTGCAGGGGGGTGACCTGGGGTGATGTCGATTATTAGCATCACTTTAAATGGAATTTGTTTAGATTGGCAATAACGTTGACTTCAGGTATGAAGTGATGACCATACCAGTCCTGAAAAACAGAAGCTGCCACCCAAGCTTTACAATTCGATTTCCAAATCACAGGCAAACCAACTTTCGATTTATTTTCAATGCTCTTGGATTTTCTGAGTGATAAACTAAGAGAGGTTTTAACTTACAATCACCAGCTGCATTCACGCCAACCATCACTGTCAATTGATCTTTGGCAGCCTTAAAACCGGAAAGGTTTTTCTCTTCACATGCAATAAAAGTTCTTTTAGGCATCTTCTTCCAGAACAAGCCAGTCTCATCTACATTGAATATGATTTGGCTGGTATAGCCACCTTCATCTATCATAGCTTTGAATTTCTCTGGATAGTAAGATGCAGCCTCTTTATCAGCACTTGCCGCTTCTCCACTTTCTGCAATGCTATGCCAATTACAGCGACTTTTGAATTGGCTGAACCAACTGTTACTAGCTTTAAACTCTTCATCTTTAGCCACCTCTCCAGCATCCTCTTTCAATCTCTCAAAAATCAGCTTAGCTTGAGAGCACACCATGTTCTGATCAACAGGACAATTTTTCACATTTACTTCATTATCACACCATAATTTTAACATTGTTTCCATCTCAGTGATAATACCATGCGTTTACGAACGATGCTTGAATTTAAAGATTGAGCATTTTTCACAGCTTCGAGAATTTTTTCTTTATTTTTTTATAATTGTTCTGACTGTCGATTCCAGTAGATCGAACTTCTTTGCCAATTCACAAATTTTCATTTTTATGTCAAAGTCTTTAATAATGTTAACTTTACATTCCAAAGATAAAGACTTTCTTTACTTGTTTGATGCAAAAGAATCAGTTCTACTTCGTTTGGATGACATAGTAGAGTGTTAAGATTAATCATATTCGTTAATGTAAACCACGCTTAAGTTAGGCGCCATCTGTTCATTTCTTTTGTATGTCCGACAATCGAAAGACTGCAGGGGATCGAGTCTGTTTATAATTTGAAAGGTAATCTTGTCAGTTGTATATACAAAAGGTAAATTGTTTACAAAATGAGTCTTTGTTTATTATCTGATAAATGTATACTTTTTTCGTCAATTGTTTACGATTGCAGATGCCTTTTGTGTAAAATCCAAGTCGGATGTATGTAAGCTAATAAATGTTCTCATTAATCTTATCTCGCATTTTGGTTTGTTCTTGGTTACAAGAAATCACCACATAGTCTCTCAAGTCTCCATAGATATAACAAACAGAAATAAATAACTCAAAATAAATTGTAGCTATGCGTCGATTCCGCACGACACATCCAAACATGTAAGCTGAACAATAGTGTGGGGGGAGTGAATAATCAAGAGTTGCGTGGTGCTCAAACAAAAGACGAATCGACGAGATTTGAAAATCGCGTAACTCTGGGTTCACATAAATCGGGGTATTACTGTACATTCTTGTATAATTGCAGGCTTGTCTCAGTGTATTTTTACTTCTTTCTTCCATGCTTCCATAACTACTGAAATGTGATTATACTACTGTTGTTCTTTGCCACTGATTTATACTATAATGTTCTTTGATCCTAATCATTATAGATCTTGAAGTGAAAATTATATAAAGATAGTTCTCATTGCTTAGTATTAGTCTAATTGCATATGCTTTTGACAGCCTGTTCAGCTTACATTATTATTTGTAATCATTCTGCAACTATAACATTTCTTCTAACACTTAACATAAATCCTACCAGAAGGAGCTTGCTAATGACACTATATTGTTTTACCCGTAACTGTTAAAAACAATTTTTTTGTCCGTTATTTTATCTTGTTGCATTTGCCCCTTTAATGATGATTTAATGAGATTGCATATTGGTTTTATTTGTGTGCCATGCTTGCTTGATATGGCTTTAATAATTCCTCATTTCCATCTTTCTTTAATATACAGTAATGTGAGATTGTTCTAGTTATCAAAGCTCTATTTGCAGTTAAGTGTTAAATTGTTTTTGTTTATAGAAATCAATATTGCCTCTATGGTACTAATAATAGCATGACTTACTTTACATTGTGTACTTCATAAAATTTTAAGCAATTTCCTTTCTAAATTTAATGTAGGGACATATGCTTTTTTGAGTACAGGTCTTAATGACTAATTTTTTTTATGAACCTTGTACACCATTACATTGTTTCCTTGCATGTGTTTATTATATTATGATGTGTGGTAGGGATTGTAAATTTACCGACTTTTTCATTTACCGATAATTCGGTTAATGAAAATTAAAATACCGGTTTACCGGTAAATNCGGTAAACCGGTATACAATCCCTAATGTGTGGTTCTTGTTATACTTTAACAACTTATTAGAGAGTTTTATTCTGGCCTTGCTCTCCTCCTCTTCTGATAATTTTGTACATTCTCCAAATGTGCAATAATATCTTGTGTATTGAGTTCATTTTTCAATACAAATTTATGACCATATTCAAGGTCATTCTTAACCTTTCCATTGAGCTCCACTACTTCTATATAGCATTTTGTATCTTTTTGCTTTTTGTTTATTTGATGAAAAATCAAGAAGAGCTGAAAACTTTTTGATAATTAAGTTTAGTTATTTGGTTACCTTATTAAGCAGTTTTTGTCTCTTTCATATTAAAAAAATTTTTTTTGCCTAATTTGTCTTATTTTAAATCATGTCATTTTTTTTAGATGTTTTGAGGTTAATTTTAATTAATTTATTTTATTTAATAGTACAAGGGAAACCCCATATGTACAGACATATTACAACAAAATAAAAAGACATTACAATCATTAATACATAAAAAACTGACACACAAACTGGAAATTTATACTAAAACAACCACTTCACACCTAAGCGATAATTTATTGTTTGTATGCTGGAATTATCGCTTAGGTGTGAAGTGGTTGTTTTAATCATTAATACTCAATTCTGGTACATAATTCATTATTATAACAGTATAGCTCATAATAATAAGCCTGTTAAAAAGAAAAAAACAACATAATATTAATAACAATAACAAAACAAAACTGACAATAATAATAATTATATGCAAAAAAGAAAAATACACACAAAAATGGCAGCGAATAGTCGATGCAGACAAAAATTCTATAGTTTAATTTTAATAATAATTTAATGATTTAGTTTGTTTGTATAATACAGTACAGCATCGATTCGATTATCTGACCCTCGATCAACCATCACATTGGTTAACCGACCGCGTTCTAGTCAGCAGATTCAAATGTCCGTTAGTGATGTGGCGCTACAATATTTGGCTATGTCTTGGCTACTTTAATATTATTTTTGTTAAATTTTGTCTTTTATAGCTGGCAACACTGTCTCGACCACGAAAGTGAGGCCAGTATTTAAATGAGGCTTAATTTTCTAATTTTTAACGATACAATAGCAACGATTATTATTTAAAAAAAAAATTTTGTTAGGCTTAACATTGATGAAAATTCAACGCAAAGTAGGTTAATAGCGATATATTAATTACATGAGATATACTAATATACTATGCTAATAATGTATTTTTTCGTACTTTTCGATTATCCGTTTTTTCAGTTATCCGCAGCAACCCCAGTCCCCAATTGAGTCGGATAATCGATGCTCTACTGTATTGGCATTTTACTCATAAAACTAAATATGTTAAATTTTAGATATTTAAAATGTTACATAAATCATTACTTTTGTGTGACTTTATTTAATTTGTTAATTGATTTTCAGCCTTCACTGTACTTGTTTAAAGAACTTCCATTAGCTGACTGGAAACCTACATCAGATGATGTGAATATTCTCAAAGAATGGCTTTTATCCGATTCATTAACTTCAAATGAAAATCAGCTGGCAAGATTAATCATAAGCAATATGAACTGGGGAATTGATAATGAGGTAAATAAAAAAGAAGAGTTGTAAACTAATTATTATTATTTAGCTTAATAATGAATACACTGGTTGCTTGGCTTTGGCTTATGGAATGAAATCACAGTCAATAATTAATATGTGGTTTGTTTCTGTATTAAAAAAGACACTGTTTATCAAATAAGTATATTTATTTATTAATAATTACAGATGAATAGTTGCTGCTATTGCTGTATAATTAAATGCATATCATAGGGAATACCACTGTTGAGGTGTGCAAAAGTTGCTTATAGAACAGAGATCCTATTTGTAAATACAAAATGAATTAAGAATCAACAAAATGAATTAATTTTTTACTGTGGAAATTTTTATGAAAATAATGTTTTCTTATATAGTATATATAAATTTTATCATGTTTAAATTTTATCATATGTTTATTGTATTAAAAATTCTGTTAATTTTCATTTTCTTGTATTAAAAAAAAAACCCAAAAATTGTTGTTAGCAATTGCAGTATTTGTAGAATGTTTTCCCAGAATTTTAATAGATTTCTGTGCAGTAATTGGTCTTAATTTGTACAAATATTCAAATATTTATTCATAAACCATCCAAGGATCACAGGTATGTAGACTGTGTTCAGTAACATAATCCATATGCAAGTAATGACCCTTTTCTTTTATTAAAATGATTAACATATATTCAAATGATATGTTTATATAAAATGTTAATTTATAAATACAGTAGAACCTCGTAAACTCGGCCTAATGTGGACCGAAGGGTGGCCGAGTTTGTGAAAATGCCGGGTTATCGGGAATGGGGTTAAAAAAAATAAGTACGAGTGTTTCCTCAGAAAATACTGTACTGTACTTGTATGTATTGTTTACTTGAGAATATAACAGAGAATAAACTGCCCAAATACCCTTAAACAAAGGAAAACTACGTACTTTATGAAGGCTACGTACTTTACTACATGAAAATGAAAATTAATGAATACACTGTGTACAGTAATTTACCTGATAAGACAGACCTCAGAAAAATACTTTATGAGAGCTTTTATACTTTTATAAAGCTGCCTATAACGAAAATTAATTAACTAAGGATTTTTTTGCCCTGCCAGGGTGTGGACGAGTTATCCGGAGTGCCGGGTTATCGAGGGCCGAGTTTTCGAGGTTCTACTGTATATTATTATTTATATTTTAACAAACATTTTTAGTAGAACTTTTTCAATAAGTATATCTGCTTGTATTGATTCAATTTATTTAAACATGAAATGGTTAAAGAAGAAAATAACAAACTGGCAGATCTATTGACTGTCATTAACCAAAACTGTGCCTAATTTTGCAAGTTACAATTAATTAAGAGAGAGTGTTACAATCAATAGTGCAAAGTGACATTTACCTGGGATCCAAATGAACACTGTCATTGATAGTCTCTTGGGAGATCTTGCAGTCTTTGTTGGTGCAAAATGTTTTTGTAACCTCTCAAAGGTAATCCTTCATAAAGAGAGCAGTATACAATCCTTTAGTGAACGAGAGACGAATAAGGGAACTTTTCAAGGTGAATCAGGAAAGACTGAGGGACATGGGGACTCTCTGAGGGACAAGAGAACCATTTGAGACAGATGAGAGAGCAAACCTGTTGTTTCCCTTTTATATCTTTCCTTTTGTCAGCAGCATTGGCATCTGACCAAATTTGGTCATCTTGATATGGTTCCTAACAGTTGTCCAGTCTAATATTTAAAAAAAACACTTCCCTGGACGAGTAGTGATTTCAGGAAGGTGTATTATCTCTCAAAGAAGTTAGAAGTTGGTAAAAATTCATTAACTTCCTTGTTGAAATTGGTGGTGTTAAGCTTAATTAATCTTTTGGAAAATATTAAACATTTATAATTCTTCACATTATTAAAAATAATAGCTCTGGATCCACACATTAACATTATTTCATAGAAAACTTCTCTCACATATAAAAGATCATTTGAATTACATTTTAGTATGAAAGTTAATTTAATCTTTTTTCTAAATAATGTATTATTTATAATATATAAATATAGTTATGTATTGTATTAAAAGTTATATCATTATAGCATCTGTGATTTTATTTGGTAGAAAAACTGTTACGCAGTTGATTTGGATATTCATCGTCAGATTGCTGTTTCAATAGTAGAAGCCTATGCAAAATTTATAAAAGTGGAAGATTATAAAACTTTAATCATGTGGAGTTTTCAACAGGTATGATAACAAATAAAATGATTTAACAAATTCATTTTTATCATATATATTATATCTATATAAAGACAATAACATTTATTGAAAAGAAACATTAAAAATTAATATGTATTAAGTCTGTTTATACCTTTTGACTATATTACTTTAAAATTGAAAAATTCCTAGATAATTTTTAAACCATGACAGCATGTAATTTTGAAGAAATGCTATTTTTTTACGTTCTTATTTCTATAAAATAACTGTTGCATATATTTGAATCAGTAATTTGCCAAAGGTGCTTATGGCATAGATTGGAACAGTTTGTTACAATGATTTTGGAACGATGATGTCTGAAGTTTGTTATATAGACAAGAACAATGTAATTCTCGTGTCTGAAAATGATGCCGCAGTGATATGAAGTCATGATTAAGTTGCCAAGGAAATTTAGTCCTGAATGATAATGATCTGAAAGAGGCACGTGCAATAATTTGGGAAACACTATTTCATTGCTTCCTTGTGATTGTATTTTTGGCTGTGTTAAAAGAGTAATAACAAATACCAATTGTATGTACTGTACACTCCCAATCAGTATGCTTCCTTCGTTGCTAGTGCACAAAGTACTGTCATTTTGTGTACCTATGATGGATGAATGGTAACCAATCTATTTTAACCAAAAGAAGATTTTTTAACATCACAAACATTCATAACCTCCATATTATAAGAAGTCTATAGACCACAACTCTAATCTGGTCAACACAACTGCTTTTACAGTAACACATTTTTGGGTGCCACCTTACCCATTGAATATCCTTGTGACTGATGGGTCAATAACACATCTATGATGAATGAATGTGTCATCAGTGTCACTGACACCTCTGTCTTACGGACAGACACAGAAACCTCAATGTATGCTAAGTTCTTTCTTTATGCCAGCGGTCATGTGTAGGCGATCGGAATCGGGATGGAGGAGACTGTGTACTCAAAAAAAGTGCACTCTACAACTCATTTAGCAAAATTAATACTTGTTTATTGATTTACTTAGGAAATTTACATAGAGGCTTACATATATATATATACATTTATACAAGATAGGAGAATTATACTCTATAGGTCAATTGGTCTATCTTAGTGGGTCCCTTACCATGAGAGAGAGAGAGTTTACACATGGTCACGAGTTGTTAAATATCTGAAGTTTTGTACACTTGCACAGGCGGACTTGTCTTGTAGGAGAATGGTATTGCCTCTTTGCAGGTAGGATTCTGGTCACTGGCAATTGGCAACAATGACTTGATAGGCAGTGTATCCAAATCTGGAGTAAACACTCAAGGATGGATGAACTCTCCTGCTGTCATTGATCTTCTTTTATTTGGAGTCCTTCCCTTAAATTTTAATACCTTTTTTAGGCGATGTTGGTTGGTTAAACCAATGATAATTTTAGATATGTTCTTGATACAGTGAAAAGGGACACATTCAGATGTGTCATCTCTGGACAAGGAAGAAAGTCCATGAGCTTTCTGCTATCTTGGTTGAGCGTTAAAAATTTTAGCAAAATTATTTAAATAAATCAAGTAAATTTTTTCTATTTAGCCTGGGTTCTCATCCTTATCTCTTATCTTAAAATAGGCTGGGTTTTGCAGTTCCAAGATTGGGCTTAAAATAGCAGATTGAGATATTTGTAGGGCTCTATGCACTAGATTTTGGTGGCTTGCTACTTTTGGGCAACATTTCAAGAATTCTACTTTTTATAAAAACCTTTCTGGCAACCTGTAAAGTTCTCACTGGACACATACCTGCAGTTTGTTTATATTATTATTAAAAATTATTAATTAAGGAAAGTAGTGTTCTATATATGTAGCTGTATTCCATTTGCTTAATAAATTACATCAATTATTTGGCATTTGGCATATTGTACAGAAGTATGTAAATCTCAGATAATTCAAAGTTGTGATTATTTTCTCTTGAATTTTGTACTGATGAGTATTTCCTGTATTTGGATTTATCTGATCTTATTAAAATTAAGTTTTCATTTTTCATCCATTTCTGTATTTTTCTTATTGGTTGTGATAGATCTTTCAAAGCAAAATAGTGTGATATTTAGATAGGATATTGGCTGTCCTCCATCTAATTTTATCTAAATTATACTAAAATTGATAAATAAGAAAAATACTCTTCCTTTCAGATTTGAATCATATTATATATCATAAATAGTATCTGAAATAAACAGATAATTAAATTAAAAAATTTAATTTATATTTACATAAAAAATTTCAATAAAATTTCTTACAAAAATTTCTGAAAGGGAAATTTGAAAATTATAATTAATTAAACTATTTTTTCAGCTTAATTATTTAGCAATGATTTTGAAATCTGCCGTAATGCCTGAAACAGCTTCACCCGAAGCAGTGTTTATAACTTGGGTTTGGGAAACCTTGTTTTCTCTTAGGCTTCACATTTTGGATGGTGTGAATCCTCCGTATCAAGAAATTTTTAATGGATGCGTAATAAGACCTGATATTCCCAATTTGCAACAGAGTGCCCACGTTCGGCCTATTGTTGAAGGTTTGGAAAGTCAACCAAAAAACCCTGTTGCATGTTATGTTGGTTTCATGTTAACATCAATTGGACACAGGTAAATGTATCTAAACTTAATTATATGTTTGTTTATAACATTAATTGTAATAGAATAGAAATATAAAATGTTTTAAAATTTCTTGTCAGTTCTATTTTAAAGTATTATTTTCAAATTAATAAAACAATTGTAATGTTATTTGTGGATGCATAATAAGTAAATACTGAAATGCAATCTGTTTTGCAATTGTAAGTTTCTGAATTTTTCATATTACACATTCTGTCTTAAATTATATTTTTATTGATAAATTATTTTTATCTTTAATTATTACTATATATAAATATTATAAAATGAAAGTACTATTCTTACACGGATCTGAGGAATTTATTAAGCTGGTGCAGACTTGTAACCTTAGGTTGTAATGTATTTCTCATACAAATGTTACGTTATGGTCCTTTTGCTTGTCGTTTTGACACATTAAAGTTATGCATTCGGAGCATGTGCTGCTTGATCTGGTTTCTTTCAGTTTCAAGCAAAATGGCAAACTCACCAGTTAGTAGTTCTGTGGCTCAGAAGTCTGTCTATGCTTGTAATGTAATCATCAAAAGGATTTACCAACAAAACTGATGGAGTGGAGTGATGGCCAGATGGCTGAGTGCTCAAGGTGGCAGCCTAAAAACCCTGTTGCATGTTATGTTGGTTTCATGTTCATTCCATTCCCAGATCCTCGTAATGGATCCGAGAATGGAATGAACATGAAATATATTGAGCATGGGAGAGTTGCACGGTGACAACATTGAGATGTAAAGTGATTCCCATATGAATAATGTTTTTGGATCCCAACAGCATTTTAGAAGGAAAACTTGTGATCAAATTGGTTTTAAGTTACTTTCTATTGCTTTATTAGCTAACTCTGTTGTACATTTGCTACACACTATATTATCATGATGGACTGCGAGATGGTCTGATGGTGAAGCATTTTAGTAGTGGTTTCAAAATATGATAGTTTCAACCCAATTAGGGATTTTGAAAAGCCATACTTACATGGGAAGGCTCAGATATATAGTTACTGGGGTTTATACAATTGCTGTCAGCTATTTTCCCAACCATTTCCTTTACTATGGAGGAGGAGAAAGATGCAAAGATCTCCTTTTTAGATGTACTTGTATTTAGATCTTACTTTCTGTGTATCATAAATTTGGTGAACCTCCTTACATCATCCCTTCTATGGCTTTTCAGTCCTCAAGGTACAAAAACATGTCTATTACAGTGCTGATATGCAGGGTGTTCTTATATCCATCCTCCCAATTTCTTGTAGATGAGATTTTTCTTCTTAAATTGGCTGTTTGCAGTGCTGGATATTCTTTAGCAAAGTTCAAACATTTAATTAACTGAGTCAAATGCATGCTATTTTTACCTTCCACTTTGTATTCTAAGAAGGAATTAGTTTTTGTAACCCAGGCCATTTCGTTCCTGAGTCCTGCTTGTTTACATATTTGTCGAGTCTTCAAAAAATTTGGTTATGTTTTGCCACTAGTGCCCAGCCCACCTTACTTAGGATGCTTTGTAATGATAGAGGTTATACTCTATGAAAAGTCTGGGGTATATACTATACTTTTGCAGAATCCCCTAACTGGGTTGAAACTATCATATATTGGAACCACTACTAAAATGCTTCGTCTCCATCTTGCAGACCATCATGATAATATAGTGCATAACAAGTGTACAATGGAGTTAGCTAATAAAGCAATAGAAAGTAACTTCAAACCAATTTGATCACAAGTTTTCCTTATAAAATGCTGTTTGGAACAAAAAACATTATTCATATGGGAATCACTTTACATCTCAATGTTGTCACTGTGCAACTCTCCCACACTTGATATATTTCATTCATCATTATTTATTAGGTACAAATAAAAGTACATGCCTAGTTCCACAGAGCATAACTAGGCTAGAATACAAAGGTTAATAGTATACGGTTTGAAAAGGAACATATGAGATACGAATTGTTTACAAATATACGTGATGATTATTAGAGTATTTACAATATGGGTACAGAGAATAAAAGTGTAAGCTGGATATACCGAAGTTTCAGAGAGCACTGTTTAGCCTTCCAATGTTCTAAATCACATGGTTCCCAATAAAACACTTCTCGTAGCGATAGTAGCATCACTATATGTTTTTGTTTATTGACTATTTAATTTATTATTATTTATGTGCTTTATTTCAATTCATTTATTCTTGATGTTTTATTTTACATTTCATCATATTTTGTATTAATGTATAATTTTTGTAAACTGTACAAGTATAATTTAAATTTTTATGCATGTGCAAGACAAACAATTTTGAAAAATGTTGGTTGCTGTTTGAATTCTTTTTCTTGAATTTAAATGTCTTGTTCTCTGGAATCTCAAATAACAATTCTGCTTGAAGAAGACAGTTTTATACTGTTGAAAGCACTTGCAAAATAAATTATTTTTTTTGTAATGCCAACAGAGTGATATATGGTATTCTTTTTATACTCATAGACTTATTTAATCATATACAATTGAAAATGTAGTAGTATTTATATTTGATATTTATGTATTTCAATTTTTTTAATACATATTGCAGTTCTGATAGCATATGTGAAGAAGGAATTGTGTTATTTTCTACACTAATAGAAAATCGACTTTACATTCAAGCGGGAAATCTTTTGCCTTATATTATGCCATTTTTTTACAATGATTTTGACAAAATATTGAGAAATCAAATGTAAGTTTAATAAAATTAATAATTAAATGAATAATTAAATATATATATACTGTATTAAAAGTTGTAAGAATAATTTTTGAATGTGATTTATATAAGTATTTGTGTAGTATGCATGCATGTACACACACACATACAACATTACACATTGTGATATGTACTATACATAGATATTATGACTTTTTGACATTCCAACTTAGTTTTCAAAAATTACAACTTGATCAAGATTTAAAATTATTTCTTATTAAAATTGTTAATGGGTAAAGTGGTGTCTAATCTTTTGTTTTATTGGTTACGGCTTTAAAGTTATTAAAAAATTTAAAATATTTCAGTTGTTGAGAGTTCGATAGAATATTACTGTAATTTCCAAGCAATTGTGCTGAAGGCATTTCATAACAGATTACAAATAATGCTTTCTACTGTTATATGTGTAATCTGTTTTTTTAGCATCCATTTTCAAGTGTTAAAGTACAGTTATAACTAGATTTTCTAATATTTTTATTGTATTACATTTTAAAAACTTTTTCAGAAATAGTTTGTATTAAGGATATTTCAGATTGCAGTGAAATACTTAAATTGATGAAAGAAACATTCAGAAAAACCTTGAAAAGAAAAAAAAAATTATTAGAGATGCATATGATAGTCTGTTGTTGTTCTGTTAATCTTATTTTCTGACAATGGCACTTTTATGTTTTTGAATATTTTGAGTTTTATTTTTACTTGAATAATGAATAAAATGCTCATTTATATAATAAGATGCTCATCAACATCTATAGAACTAAGTCATAATTTTATAAAATTGAAAATTGTTATTAATATTACTTACATTATAAGTAAAAGAATAAAATTTGTTATATATATAATTTGAGACAACTGTAAACATAATTCACTTGATAACAACTGATACTGGTATTAATCATGTTATATCATTTATCACAACAGTTTGATACAACATTCAATATTAAACTAAATTACTGCACTATAGTTTATTACTGTAATATATACAAATGTAAGATGTAATGCAGTTTTATTCATTTGTGAAGATTACATTAATCCCATCCATTAATAACATCTATAGAACCAAAGTTTTATTGCAGACATACATGTTTATAATTGTGATTAATTTAAGAATAAGAATTTGTAGATGATTAAGTTTATTAAAAGTAACTAATTAAAACCTATTTTCTCTTGATTAGGATAAATGATTTTACAACAACTATTGGTTGAATGATGGTTCTTAAGAATTGATGTCTTACAAAATTACTTAAATATTTATTGGAAAATAATTATATTTGTCGATAAAAATTTAAATAATATAGCAATCTTAAAAGCAACTTAAATTTTTGTGAACTTTTTGTTAGGTTTATGAGGAGTGCCGAAAAACTCTTATTGGCTGACATAACATATTTAGAATTGGTAAAAAAGAGAGAACTGCCAGGAAAAGTTCTTCAGTTTATTTCATGTATAATGAAAGTATGTTTAATATTTTCTTTTATTTAATATTATATTTAAATATTTAACATGTTTAATTTTATATAACATTTCATTTTTAGTGCCAAATTGATAAATACATAGCTGTTGGAAGTGCATCTGATTTAGTGAATATGTGGCTACAAATATTAATTAGGATATTAATTCAAATGAATAAAAATGAAAGTCTGTTGAAAAATAAAGAATATATTTATTATCTTTTAGACGAGTTAGTAAAAATGTCATTTGGCAATTCACTTACACGTAAAGCGCTTTTTGATAAACAGAAACATATATTGAAGGCAAGTATTTATTTAAAAGAAACGATAATTGTAATCTTATTATATCATTATTAAACATTTAATAATAATAATTAATAATTTAAGACCTACAAATTTTATTTATGTTGTATTAGTTAAATATAAACTGTACTATAAAATTGAATGCTATACATATTATATTATTTTTATAAAACAGTGTAAATTGTATAGACTAATTTTAAAATGATTATGATTTCTTCATTGGGGAAATACAAAAGTAATTATGATGGAAAATACAGTTTTATAAGTATTAAGTATTATATTAAATTTGAACTTGATCCTGCACTTTGTTCACAAAAATTAAATATGACTCAAATTATGAATTAAAATATTCTTTGTTTAAAATTTAAAATCATAAATATGACAATGCTTTTATTCTGAATCCTAAATGATGATAATATTCATAATATACATAAATTTTTCTACTTTTTTGTGCTAATACAATTTTTAAATACAGTAGTATCAATAAAACAATGGATATGCTTGATTTTATGGTGGTGTCATTCTCTGTAGAAAAAGTTCATTCAGTTGTTGTTTTACTTTAGCATGGATTCAATTAGGTAAACTGTCATTCAATTTATAAAAATGTCATTTTAGTTTACTTTTTATGCAATAGTTTTTGTTTTATTTTATTATTATTATTTTATTCTTAAGCATTATGAATTATAGTGAAATATTTTATCTTTTCTCCAAATACATCAAATATTCAATCAGTTAATCTTATTTTAAATTTATTTCTGAAAATATGACTCATTGATTGTTTTTATTTTTAATTATTAAGACTTATTTTTTTTTAAAGCTATAATGAAAAAGCATTATAAAGTATGGTTTCTAAGAAAGAATTCTTCAATACTATATAATAAAAAAACATGAAAACGATTATGCATAAAGAATTGAAGTTATAAAAGATCAGAATCAAATTTCTTCTAATAAGAAATGCTGTTTCGATTAACTTTTTAAATGAATTAAGAGACTTGTTAGGTCTGAAAATCTGTTTTGTGTAATGGAAACAATTTTGTGGTGATAATATTTAATGAAAGAGTGTGTAAGCACCAAACATTTGAGAGTGAACCACACAATATTTTAATTTATAATCTTTCAGTCTTTTGTTGCTAAACACTATTGAATACACTATCACATTCTGTTCAGAAGCAGATATTTCTTGAAGCTTTGTGTTCTGTAAAGGAAACTTTATTTTCTTAAAATGAACAAGAAATAATATTTTTTCTTATCATATTCATAGTCTAAATTATTAATTCAGTGAATTTACCCCAGGTTTAGTAAGTATATTTGATTAATTTTTGATCACAGAGAGAGTTTATTTTGAATATTTAAGAAGTGAAAAAAATTTTATTGTTTGTTTGTATGAAAATGCTTTTTTGCTGAGTATTTTATGAAACTTTAATTATATTTTTTATTCACTGACTATGGATGGATGAATTTGAAAAATAGTCATGTTGTAATACTACATTTTTACACATTATATTTAATCAGAAAATATTTTACATACAAAAAACGACTTCCAACCACTTAACACTGCGTTGAATAATAACAATCCACGAAACCTTTTTTTACAAGTGTTATGTCCATAGTAAACTCCACAAATGCTTTCGACCTCCACCGAGTCACCCACCCAGTCACCACCTGAAGCAGACCTCGGTGGAGCTCAAAAGCGTTTGTGGAGTTTACTACGGACATAACACTTGTAAAAAAAGGTTTCGTGGATTGTTATTTTACATACAAACTTTTATTTCTAACTTATAAGAATTCTTTATCATTTTGTCAGTGTTAAAGTTAATTAATACAATTTAATAAACTATCTATCTATATTATTTTAACAAATAATTAAAATTTTTCAGTGTCTTTCATTACCTAAGCAATCATGGGGCATAACAGCAGCCCTCACCAGCTTTGTTAGTAAGACTCCTATCCATGAGAAACAAATTTTAATCGAACCCACATCAGAATTTATATGGTTTGCTTGGTTTGCGGCATTAATAGAAGTGGATAATTCTGACGTATTAAGCATTTGGAAGCAAGTTCTGTTAGAAATGTCTGTTGATTCTAAAATGAGTAGCCAAGGTGCACTAAAAGTAAGAAAGATTTTTTATATTTATTTTACAGTTAGATAAAATAATTTACATCTTAAATATATAGGTTAAATGCAATAAGTGGGTCCTCTTTAAGGTGGAAACTTGTTAAAGATGGAAAATTAGAATTACTTTGGCATAAACATCAAATTTTCTCATAAAATATAGCTTATTTCATATCTGAAATATGAATGGAAAGCTTTCAATTCATGTCTCAGACATTTCACCTTAAGTGGGATATTTTATATATAAGAGTTAACAATGCAGATTTTTCTTTTTTGCTACTTAAAATGGCATGTTTAGCATCAGAACTACTACAAGAATGTGAAGGTATTAATTAAATGATTTAACAAGTACAGTAAGTACAGTACAGTTGATTCTTGAACAGTATGGCTTTACTTATGTGTATACTGTATTTTTTTTTGTTAAAAAAGGTGTGAAATTGTTTGAATAAAATATTTTGAATCATTTTTTTACTAATAAATTCTTAATATTACAAAATTAGTGTCGTTTTACAACATCTATCTATCTGCAACTTGTTATATTTGGTTAATAATACAAGAAGTTGATAGTGAACTGCAAGGTGCCAGTTCAATAAATTTTTTTGAAATTTCTGTTTATATTGAAAGTTTTATTCAACTCTCATCACATCTAAAGCTTATTAATTAATTAATTATTGCTCTTAAAACATATTTTATTCATATTATATAAACTATTATGTTAAGTTTAATATGAAATTAAAAACTAAATAAAAGAAAAATCAATTAGCTTGCTTTAAAGCAGACTTGTAGATTATCTGTGTTTTCCCATTATCTATGTATTCATTACTTGTGATTAGCCCAGATAATCAAGAGTATCCTGTATATACAAACTTCTTGTCTGGATTTGGAGTCATGTGATTTAAATTCAAAATTTTCTTGAGAACAGAGTTAGATAGATGAATGGCATGACTCAATTATCCAGAGAAGAATGATGTACAGGGGAAAGACACCACTAAAATTCAGACAAGATATGAAAACAACTCATCCTAGACTGCAATTTCTTATTAACTAAACTTTCTTGAGAAAGGTCATTGAATATGACCGAAAACGTTAGAATTTAATAAATACGGCTGCATATTTAAAGGTATTCTTGAGTGTGTTTAGTTAGTAAGATATGAAAAGTTTAGGGGCCAAAGAATCTGATTAACTATATAAGAACTTCTAGTCTGGACAGGAAATTGTGATATTTTTTTTTTTTAAATTAAAAGATGATTGTAACAATGCCAGGCTGAAATTTTTAATGTCACAATAATTTAGTTAAATGGATGCATGTTTTAGGATGAAATGTATCAATTATATTTTCCTAGAATATTAAATCAGATAATGGTTAATTACATAATTTCATTGCAGGGAAATAAATACTTTTTAATCGTCATCGTAGAACTTTTAATTTTAAAAAATGTTCCTTTTTTCACTGTGGCATATATTTTTTTAAGCGTGTAACTAATAATTACCTAATGTATTAATGCTTATAGCAGTTTGAGGAAATTCTTAAAGCTGCCGATAATGATGTAATATTTTATGCATAGTATTCTAGCATTCATTGGCTGTTTTAAAATTTCATCAAACTTTGGAAGATCATTTAAATTTTTCTGCTCATATACCTGAGAAGGGCTGCTGAAGAGGCTGAAAACATTAGTATTATTAAGAAAATAACTGCTAGAGGAAATGTTAAAGTGCTAGTTAATAGTTATCTCTGTTTCAGATTCAGGAATGTTTTTAAGTGTGCAACTTTTATACTAGCAATTCTGCTCAAATTTGTTTTTTTAATTATACAGTAGATCCCCCTATAAAACCGTTTCCTATAGTTATGATTCCTATAAAAATTGTGGCAGTATCCGTAAACAACGGTAAAAATAACTCCTATAATACGTAAAACGTCTTCGGGCAGCCGAACTACTTTCCTGCCGTCCGTAGCGTGGCGCTACGGACGTTTAGGCGGATAAATTGAGTTTAGTATCGTCTGTTCATATAATTATATATAAATTAGGTACTGTACATATAATTATATATTAATTATATATAAATTAGGTACTGTATATATAATTATATATTAACTTAATTTATTGTAACTTTATTATAATTAAATATATATTTTTCGCCGTCTAGCGTCACGCTACGGCGAGTTAGGCGACCTATCGTCTGTTTAGTACTGTAATTTTATACATTTCTTGTGAAAGAAACATTTCTTATTTAACGGCCATAAAAATTATTTATATTAATGATGTCTCCAAAGGTCAACGAAGTTTTCGCAGAAAAATAATATCAGAAATCGCGGCCGCAATTTGATGCGCTGTTCCGCGACGAAACCAAGCTTTAGCAACGGGCGTAGTCGAACGGTACACACTCGGTAAGCAATCCTACAATTTTTTGTTTATAACGTAGTTTATACGGATTATTTTCAAAAAAATATACGTATTTTGGAAATGTTGAGTCGAATTAGTCTAGAATCGATTAATTTTATGAAAGAAAACCTTTCAAACAGCCGTAGTCCGTAAACTATGATTCCTACAAAATTGATTCATAAAGAACGGAACGTATCTACCGTCTTATAGGGGGATCTACTGTATATAAGTAATCTTATATCTTTGTAAGAATATTTAAATCTATTTTTTTTTTTTAAATTTCATTTTGTAATATTTTTATTTATATTCAGTAAAATTTCATAAGCAATTATGTGTTGGCATGATTCAACATTATGAATCTGTTATATACATTGATGATGCAAAAGTGCATCTTATCATTAAAAATTATAAAGAATTAAAGAATTACATACATGAATAATTATTTTATAAAGTTAGAATTTAGTTAAAATTAAACATGGTTCTAGAAAAATTGAAAACACATTGTCAAATAATAATTGATAATCAAATCAGAGAGAACATTTTAAACTCTTCAAAAATGACTCCTCTTAGCTTAAATTGAATTTACACATATATAAAATCATCTGTTTTATTTTAGCAATCGCATATATTAGATTTTAAGAATAATTTTTCTTTTAAACAATTTCATTGATAAATTTGTATAGAGAAATTGTTGTAATATTTTAATTATTGAAATACAATAATAAATATTTTTGAATACATTGTAGGTTTTATTTGAAATAAAATAAGTAAAATATTCTTGCAATAATTTTAATATTGTAAAATTCTGAAGATTTATTTTTATTCCAGAAAATTACAAATCTTCTTAACTTGAATTTTAAAAAAGAATGTTTGCCTATTTATAAGTGGTACAGGCAAGCCATCGCGACTCCAAAAGAACATCTGTTATGTCCGTTGATGTGGCAACAGTTTTTCCGTTTCTTTTTACAAAAGCTTTCTGATTCTTCAAGGTATCAAAATTTAATTTGTTTGCAAAGAATATATTTAAAAGAGGATGTTGAATTCTTTAAGATGCTTAAATAAACTCTCTTTACATTTTTGTATAAAAGGAAAAAAAATTATACATCTTTTTAATTGTGAAAATTGGACTGTATTGATGATGATATAGTTGATTAAAATTTTCTCAAACTTACTAAGTTAAGCATTTAGATTATATTTAGTTTTTAGGATTGATGTTTTGTATTTATCCATTTAAAATTTTATATTAAATGGAGTTATTGAACCAGAAGCACATTTATAGAAAGTTTTATTCAACTCTCATCACATCTAAAGCTTATTAATTAATTAATTATTGCTCTTAAAACATATTTTATTCATATTATATAAACTATTATGTTAAGTTTAATATGAAATTAAAAACTAAATAAAAGAAAAATCAATTAGCTTGCTTTAAAGCAGACTTGTAGATTATCTGTGTTTTCCCATTATCTATGTATTCATTACTTGTGATTAGCCCAGATAATCAAGAGTATCCTGTATATACAAACTTCTTGTCTGGATTTGGAGTCATGTGATTTAAATTCAAAATTTTCTTGAGAACAGAGTTAGATAGATGAATGGCATGACTCAATTATCCAGAGAAGAATGATGTACAGGGGAAAGACACCACTAAAATTCAGACAAGATATGAAAACAACTCATCCTAGACTGCAATTTCTTATTAACTAAACTTTCTTGAGAAAGGTCATTGAATATGACCGAAAACGTTAGAATTTAATAAATACGGCTGCATATTTAAAGGTATTCTTGAGTGTGTTTAGTTAGTAAGATATGAAAAGTTTAGGGGCCAAAGAATCTGATTAACTATATAAGAACTTCTAGTCTGGACAGGAAATTGTGATATTTTTTTTTTTTAAATTAAAAGATGATTGTAACAATGCCAGGCTGAAATTTTTAATGTCACAATAATTTAGTTAAATGGATGCATGTTTTAGGATGAAATGTATCAATTATATTTTCCTAGAATATTAAATCAGATAATGGTTAATTACATAATTTCATTGCAGGGAAATAAATACTTTTTAATCGTCATCGTAGAACTTTTAATTTTAAAACATGTTCCTTTTTTCACTGTGGCATATATTTTTTTAAGCGTGTAACTAATAATTACCTAATGTATTAATGCTTATAGCAGTTTGAGGAAATTCTTAAAGCTGCCGATAATGATGTAATATTTTATGCATAGTATTCTAGCATTCATTGGCTGTTTTAAAATTTCATCAAACTTTGGAAGATCATTTAAATTTTTCTGCTCATATACCTGAGAAGGGCTGCTGAAGAGGCTGAAAACATTAGTATTATTAAGAAAATAACTGCTAGAGGAAATGTTAAAGTGCTAGTTAATAGTTATCTCTGTTTCAGATTCAGGAATGTTTTTAAGTGTGCAACTTTTATACTAGCAATTCTGCTCAAATTTGTTTTTTTAANAAAATTAAACATGGTTCTAGAAAAATTGAAAACACATTGTCAAATAATAATTGATAATCAAATCAGAGAGAACATTTTAAACTCTTCAAAAATGACTCCTCTTAGCTTAAATTGAATTTACACATATATAAAATCATCTGTTTTATTTTAGCAATCGCATATATTAGATTTTAAGAATAATTTTTCTTTTAAACAATTTCATTGATAAATTTGTATAGAGAAATTGTTGTAATATTTTAATTATTGAAATACAATAATAAATATTTTTGAATACATTGTAGGTTTTATTTGAAATAAAATAAGTAAAATATTCTTGCAATAATTTTAATATTGTAAAATTCTGAAGATTTATTTTTATTCCAGAAAATTACAAATCTTCTTAACTTGAATTTTAAAAAAGAATGTTTGCCTATTTATAAGTGGTACAGGCAAGCCATCGCGACTCCAAAAGAACATCTGTTATGTCCGTTGATGTGGCAACAGTTTTTCCGTTTCTTTTTACAAAAGCTTTCTGATTCTTCAAGGTATCAAAATTTAATTTGTTTGCAAAGAATATATTTAAAAGAGGATGTTGAATTCTTTAAGATGCTTAAATAAACTCTCTTTACATTTTTGTATAAAAGGAAAAAAAATTATACATCTTTTTAATTGTGAAAATTGGACTGTATTGATGATGATATAGTTGATTAAAATTTTCTCAAACTTACTAAGTTAAGCATTTAGATTATATTTAGTTTTTAGGATTGATGTTTTGTATTTATCCATTTAAAATTTTATATTAAATGGAGTTATTGAACCAGAAGCACATTATAACTAATTTTAACCAAAAGTTTTTTCTTTTAAATTTATTATTTTGTATTTCTGAGAATTTATTGAAAAATAAAGTTTTAATTAAAAGACACTTTTAAAAATAAATGTTTTTAATTTTAAATATATTAAAGAAAAACTTTCAGTACTTCAACTTGTGTACAGGGTGTTCTGCTCAAACATCCTTAGTTTTGTGGATTAAATTTGGGAAAAGAAAGGTAAATATAGTACTGTGGTAATAGAAAATGCATCTGTAAACATTAGTTACTTTATTAAATCAGTACATTTCAACATATGCTTCTGACATGTGAAGTACATTAGGATACAACATGCAACCTAACATAGCCAGTAAGTTAGGAGTCACACTATTAATGGCATTTGCGATTCTTATGTGCAGACTCTTGCATTTGGCTCTGTAGAGTAAGCATGATTCATGACATACCTGCAAAGAAAAAGTCCAAAGAGATGATGATAGATGATTAGGCAGACGAAGAGGTGGGTCCCCTATGAAAAAGACCATGTGGTGACAGTGACACTTTTAAGTGTACGCACACACAACTTGGAGTATTGACGAACATTCTCCAATGCATTTTATTCATATATCTGAATAAATGAATATTATAGAACAGTTTAAAACTAGAGATGTTTGAATGGAACACATTATATATCTCTGAGGATGAATGAAAATCCTTAATACATTTTTGATAGATAAATATTAGATAAAATTAATAGCTCATAAAACATAGAGAAATTTAATAAAATAGCTTATTTTCTTTTAAACAGTTGATTCCATTTTATATTTTGAAGTACAAGTAATGCAGTTCAGTTTAGAGTCAAAATGCAATCTATTCCGATTAAACATTTTTTAAAGATATTTCACATCAACAGATTGAACTCTATCATTAAGTGTTTCATCTGATAACATTTAATTGGAATAAACTGTATTTTGACTTTGAACTGGATACCATTACTTTTGTTTCATGAAATAAAAATTATTATTATTCAAATTTTGAAAATTAATCTGTATATTTTATTCTTTGGGTTTTGTGAAATGTAAGATTCATTAGTGAAATTTTATAAATGGAACATCAAATTCAAACACAAATGTGTGTGTATCATATATGTTTGTAATAATATTTTAATTGTATTGTTTGAAAGGGATATGCAATATCATATTTTCTGGTATTGCCTTTCATTTATACAAGAAATAAATAAATAACTCAATATATATATATATATAGTAAAATATCTATAACATGTATATATTACATCATAATTACTTAAAAGGACCTACTAGTGGACAGGAAATTGTGATATTTTTTTTTTTTAAATTAAAAGATGATTGTAACAATGCCAGGCTGAAATTTTTTATGTCACAATAATTTAGTTAAATGGATGCATGTTTTAGGATGAAATGTATCAATTATATTTTCCTAGAATATTAAATCAGATAATGGTTAATTACATAATTTCATTGCAGGGAAATAAATACTTTTTAATCGTCATCGTAGAACTTTTAATTTTAAAAAATGTTCCTTTTTTCACTGTGGCATATATTTTTTTAAGCGTGTAACTAATAATTACCTAATGTATTAATGCTTATAGCAGTTTGAGGAAATTCTTAAAGCTGCCGATAATGATGTAATATTTTATGCATAGTATTCTAGCATTCATTGGCTGTTTTAAAATTTCATCAAACTTTGGAAGATCATTTAAATTTTTCTGCTCATATACCTGAGAAGGGCTGCTGAAGAGGCTGAAAACATTAGTATTATTAAGAAAATAACTGCTAGAGGAAATGTTAAAGTGCTAGTTAATAGTTATCTCTGTTTCAGATTCAGGAATGTTTTTAAGTGTGCAACTTTTATACTAGCAATTCTGCTCAAATTTGTTTTTTTAATTATACAGTAGATCCCCCTATAAAACCGTTTCCTATAGTTATGATTCCTATAAAAATTGTGGCAGTATCCGTAAACAACGGTAAAAATAACTCCTATAATACGTAAAACGTCTTCGGGCAGCCGANTTCTAAAATAAAAGAACATTTATAATAAATTTCATATGAATTTTGTTCTGATATTACAATTATTTATTTAATGTTGGTTCAAAGTATCTTTACTTACTGCAAACTTTTTGAAATCTTTTGATTTAATTTTTAAAAATTTTAATGGATTGATATAGGCTCTAAATTATATTAATTTTGGATAGTTATCTGAGAACAGTTTTTATTGATGAATCTATATAAATTCAAAATCTGTTTCCCAAAATGTCTCTACCAGCTTTACTACACAGTTGGAGATTATTAGAAAATAAATATTGATTATCTGAAATTAGTTTTTATTATAAATTAGAAACACAACTACCAGTTATTATAGTCTTTAAAATGATATTTTATGTACTTAGAAGTATTTATCTATTTATACGTTGTTAATTTTTTTAATAAGAAATTACTGAACTTTCAATACATTTGATTCAGTTTTGATATATGTTATTATTGTCGTCATGTATTTGAATCTGAAAGTCTGTACTTCGATCTCAGCCTTTTACAACCCACTTTATCCTGATTTTATCATTTATCAACTATAATAGATTATAAAATAACCTGAAACTGTCTCGTGGATATTCAAAAATTTTAAAAATTTGTGTTTTTTTATTTTTGGTTTTCAAGTTTTTATGTCATAATTTAAGCAAAACTATATTGTTTGTTTAACATTTTTCAATTATTCTACAGGGTGACAATTATGAAAGAATTGAAATTGGTATATATACTTCTTGAGTGAGAGATTTTGATTTTTGAGAAAAGAAATTTCACTTTAAA